GGTATGACCGTGGCTGCTGGATCGCCTGCGTTTGCGGATCTTGTTGCTTCTGAAGATGCTGCTATTGTCAAGTCTCTGCGTGAGGCTGGGGCTATCCTCATTGGCAAGACCAACATGCCACCAATGGCCGACGGCGGTTCTCAACGTGGCGTCTACGGAAGAGCAGAAAGTCCCTACAACCTCACCTACATGGCCACCGCATTTGCTTCTGGATCATCCAACGGTTGTGGAGCATCAACAGCAGCGAGTTTCGCCGCATTCGGACTCGCCGGGGAGACAGTCTCATCAGGCCGAGCCCCTGCTTCTAACAACTCTCTGGTTGGCTACTCACCGAGCTGGGGCGTAGTGCCGAACAGGGGACAGTGGCCTCTGTATCCCACCTGCGATGTTATTGTACCTCATACACGGTCGATGAGAGATCTTTTTGATGTTCTCAATGTTGCTGTAGCCGATGATGTCGAGTCAGCAAAAGGAGTCGACTTTTGGCGGAACCAGCCATATGTTCATGTCCCAAAACCCTCAGAAGTCCGTCCAACGGATTATCACACCCTTGAAGACATAACCTCCCTTCAAGGAAAGAGAATCGCTGTTCCAAAATGCTTCCTCGGCATCGAAGGCTACGAGCCAACCTCTTTCTGCTCAGATTCAGTCCTGAACCTCTGGAAGATAACATGCGCCAATCTCGAAGCTCTCGGAGCCACAATCGTCGAGACAGATTTCCCCATCCTCGAACAATACACGAAAAAGGATTTTCCCGGCCAGAGCTCCAACGTGCCAGGCATGTCCAAGGAGTGGGTGAGCATTGAAAGATGTCAGATGATCGCCACAGCCTGGGACGACTTCCTCCGAGAAAACAACGACGCCAAGATTCCAAACCTTCCCTCCGCAGACCCCGACAAGATTCATCCCCTCGTCGCGCCGATGGACGATCCAACCTTGCACACCGAGTCCCAAAACCAAGTACGATACGTCGACATGATCGAAGCGGTTCGTGAACGAAACGGAACTTTACATACCTTGCCTGAGTGTGAAGAAGCCGCCAAGGCTCTCGATGCGATGCGAAAGACACTATATGAGGAGTGGATGGATTCCAACGGGTATGACCTCGTGGCTTTCCCAACCAACGGTGATGTGGCGTATGCAGATGCAGATGAGACGTTTGAGTCCATGACGGATGCTCTTCGTCCTGGTGTTTTGTACTCCAACGGAGGACGAGCATTCAAGCATCTCGGTATTCCCTGCATCACAGTACCAATGGGCAAGATGGCAGACAAGGGCATGCCCGTTGGTGTCACGTTTTGTTCCAAGGCGTGGCAAGATCAAGATCTTCTGAGATATGCTTTTGCGTACGAGACTGGGTCTCGGAGCAGGGTTACGCCTCCTTTGGCACCTCCTCTGCCTACAGACGAGATTTCTCTTTCTCCTTCGATCCAGGAGACATTCAAAGATGTCGCGCCTGTCTTGACTGTCACTTCAACAACCACTCAAAAGGATGAAGACAAATCGAACCATATCCGTAACGTAGAAATCAACGGTACAATCGAGACAAACAACCCCAACGTCCAAGTCACTTCTGTAACCGCCTTTGTCAACGGCCAACCCTCGGATGCCATCACCGTTCAAGGCAGCAACTGGAGTTTCAGGGATCGTCTTACGAGACCGAAGAGGGCGGAGCGGTTCCCAACGACGAGAACCGTGCCCAAGGATCAGTTCATGGTTGTTGTAGTTGCTAAGGGGTCTAATGGACGATGTGCGGGGGAATTGGTGGTGGTTGATTAAGCGTTGATAGTTTCCTGCATAGAGTAGATTTGTATACCATTGATTGTTTTGTAATTCTAAGTTCCGTGAATACTTGAGGACTGCTATTGCGACGGAAGTCAACACATCAGACTTGCCGTTAGCAATCATCCATCTCGTCTTGTGAATCGTACAAATGCTACACACAGCCATGACTTTAAGCAACGAAGACAAGCCCATCAATTTGGTTCGTGCCCCCTCGTTGGCATCAATAAAGGATACCGTAGTCTTAAACCCAAGTACTTGAGATGGATGGTAGATAAGAACTGAATGCTCAAATTACGTGTCAAACACCACATCTATCGTCCTTTTCGGTTCATATCAACCACCCCCACGTACTTCAAACTTAAACATCATGACTAGGATCATGTGGTTTGCCCGAGTCAGTGACATCCCAGCCACCCAATACAATCCCCTATCTCTAACCTCGGACCATGACAAGTCAAAAACCTCCTTAACTAGGTTCGTTCACCAGCCAAGACGTCAAAAGCTCCACATTCCCCCACAAATCCATTTCCCACCTTGCATCCCTTTCAATTCCGAGCTTGAACAAACCAGACGCATAGAAAAGGCAAAACAATGACACGAGGACGCAGGGGCTGTTGGACTTGTCGCATCCGTCATAGAAAATGCGACGAGCAAGTCCCCGACTGCAAAGAATGCACCGACAGACACATCGAATGCCACGGCTACGACCTCGACGCGCCAGAATGGATGGCCGACGAGGCCCTCCTGCAGGAAGAACTACAACGCATCAAAGCCGCTGTAAAGGAGAATTTCAGGCGCGTCAAGAGAGTTCAGAATAGACGGCTCGCTCAGGCGACCGCTCAGGCTGCGCAGGCGAGTGCTGCTGCTAGACTCAAGAATGATGCTGTTGTTGCTTCTACTTCGGACTCGCAGGCGAGGAATACGACGTTTAGAGAGGCGCAGTATCTCGTGCATTACTTGGATTACATATTTCCTATCCAGTATACATTCTACGTTGATGCACCTGAAGAAGGAGGACGAGGATGGTTATTCTTTCTTCTCGAGCGAAGTATGCATCCCTCTTAACCAACCGAATTCCTACTAACTTATCAAAGGCGCACCTCTACGTAACGCCGCTCTTACACTGTCTGCATTCCATCAACACATCTCTTCACCATATCGAACCGAAAACCAAGAAGATGAACTCCTCAACTATCACACAAAAGCACTGCAAGAACTTAGACAAATAATAGGTCGTCGAGAAGTTGGCGGATTCGCCGACAGTCGGGAAGAATGGCTTGAGTTTCTAGCAGGCGGCATGTTTCTAATAAGTTTCGAGGTACACCTCCCACTCTCCAACCTTTGTTCATCGTATGCTTATGTCCCAGGTCTTTCAAGGAGGCACAAGCAACTGGGAACCACACTTTAAAGCCCTCGTATCCGTCGCCAACGACCTGAAACCTTCCGAATTCAACTTTTACCCTCCAGACACCTCGAGTCCAGACTTTGACTTTCTCCGAGGCATGAACACGGCTCAAAAGTTTCTTCTCGCGAATCTCCTCTGGATCGATGTTTTAGCTCCCGTCTCGACCGGTGAGGCTCCGAAGTTGCCCTATCGCGAGTGGCTCGACGCTGGCAAGATTGACATGTCGAGGGTTATGGGATGTCAGAATTCCATTGTTGTTGCGATTGGGGATTTGGTGGCTGTTGATTCAAAGGCTGGTTCTATGAACACGGATACACTACAAGAACACATCCTCGAGCTTGAGAAACAGATATTTGATGGAATGGAAGCAGCCCTGGAAGTTGAATCTGCGGTAAGTCCATCACTGTCTCAAACGATTAAAAACTAACAAACATCAGACAAAGCAGTCAACATCAGTGACACGCTCAGTCACCCACCTCTTCGCAACCTCAGCCCTCGTCCAACTCTACACTCTTGCATCAGAATACGGCCTAACAGCACCCGATCCGCACCGAGCAGTCTTGCGAGTAATCGAAGTTCTGGAGCAGATGCCCACCAACATTTCACTACGCGGGACGCCGTGGCCTCTGTGTGTAGCTGGGTCGATGGCACTTCCTCCACAACAGCAGTACTTTGACGATTTACTCAAGGGGCTGCTGAGTAAGTCAGAGGCTGGGTTTACAAATTGTGGGACGGTGTATCGTATTGTTAAGCATGCTTGGAAGCAGAGGGAACAGTATCCGGATAAACTTTGGAGTGCGAGACATGCCATGGCAGATATGGGGGTTTGTGCTATTCTGATATGAGTAACAAGTCTCGAGGCGAAAGCGAAGTAACTAGCACGGCGTCACGGTCTTGAGGGTAGTGTATGATCAATAGGCAGCGTGTTTGGGGGTTTTGAAGAGGTCACGTCAGGTTTGAGTCTCATGGTAGGTAGTAGCCAGACGATAAGCACCGGTTTGAGAGACAAAGAATCTGTCTAGTGAAGGGAATATGCTTCTCGAAATATTGCCATGCAGGTCATGACTTCATTTTATGAAAGTAATCTCCACAAGAAGACTCCAGTGAAGATGGGCTTCACAAGTTGGCAATATCCCATTTAGTAATCGTGAACTACTTATTCGAAAGTCCATGGCTATTCAATACGTATCATGAAATAAACCAGCAACGAACCTAAGAATGCGTGAGCATGTGAAAGTCGTCAATGGTGCGTGGGATATCATGTGTTGATCCTATCACGTCTTACCCTACAGACACGCGTTATTAGGGAATTATTAATAGTTCTCGCTCTCAACGTTGCGTCGGGGACTTTTTGATTTGACGTTTAATACGGAGAGTATGATGTCATTCTTGAATATGGGGGTCAATCTCTACATACCACTCTTATCGTGGCTGTTTGAGTCGCAACGGTGATATCTGCAAGCCGACGCAACACTGAACAAGCAAAGTAATAGTACAGCATCACAACTGTCTCAAATGACAGGAAAACACGTAAATAATTACCAAAATTCACCTCTTTCTTATACTTTAACGCATCAAGTTTCACAATCATCTGAAACAATGCTTACGACACGTGTTGACACCAGACCCCCCAACCGATCGCGTCATCCTCATCACGCCTGACGAACAACACCATCACAACCCATCACACGCCAAGGAACATCCGGATGTCTCGCAGCTTATCAACCATGACCACAATCACGTCTTTACCCATCCCTCTTATAAACCCATCCCCCTCATGTTACTGTAGAGGGACATCATCGCAAATGTCATGACACGAAACGCTTCTCAAAAGCAGCCGCTACTGCAGCGGCAGTCAAGTCAAGATTCTTATGGCTCTGTTGATAAGACTCCCACTTCACCTCCGAGCTCCGTAGACGAAGGCGAAATCGCTGTTGGAGACGCTGAACCCTCGCGATCCGTCGAAGATGACGTCCTTCCTGAGACGTCCCCGATCGGTCGGACACTCTCGTGGCAGAGTGCTTACATTCTCGTCATCTCGCGCGTCGTCGGGAGCGGCATCTTTGCGACTCCAGGAACAATAGTTCAATCTGTCGGAAGCCCTGGCTTGTCTCTGCTCCTATGGGTCGTTGGAGCTGCCATCGCTGCGTGCGGGTTGGCAGTGTCTCTCGAGTACGGGTGCATGCTTCCGAGATCTGGAGGCGACAAAGTCTTTATCGAGTTTACATACCGACGACCACGATTACTCGCATCTACATTATTCGCCTTATACGCGGTGCTACTCGGCTTTACGGCCAGTAACTGCATCATCTTTGCGCAATACACGCTCTTCGCTTTTGGCATCAACAAAGACGATGACTTTTGGAGCAAAACCCTCGCCGTCGGGCTCTTGACAGCCGTAACAATAATCCACGGAGTATTCCCCAAGACGGGCATCAGAATCCAAAACTTTCTCGGCTGGATAAAAATCGCCATCATCTTGTTCATGATCCTCTCTGGCTTCTACGTCGTCCTCTTCCGTCCCAACATCGACGCCGTACCCCAAGGTCAACTCGCATGGGAGCATCTATGGGATGATAGCAGCTGGAACTGGGGCGTCATTGCGACGTCGCTGTTTAAGGTCTTTTACTCGTACGCTGGTCTTGATAATGTGACCAATGTGATGAACGAGGTCAAGAATCCCGTGCGGACTTTGAGGTCTGTTGCGTTGACGGCTCTGGCGACGGCGTGCGGCATGTATCTCCTCATCAATGTCGCATACTTTCTTGTGGTGCCCATCGACGATATTAGGGGTAGTGGTGAGCTCGTTGCAGCGCTCTTCTTTGAGAAGCTCTTTGGAGAGAGTTTTGGTCGCAAGGTTCTTCCTATGGCAGTTGCTTCATCTGCCATCGGCAACGTCCTCGTGGTAGCATTCGCCATGGTACAGTAGACTCACCAACCGCATCAAGCACAAACTAACAACCACAGGCCCGAATCAAGCAAGAAATCGCCCGACAAGGCTTTCTCCCCTACTCATCCCTCCTCTCCTCCTCACGCCCCTTCAACTCGCCCCTAGGCGGCTTCTTAATCCACTACATCCCCTCTTTCTTAGTAATGGTGCTCCCCACAGGCGACATCTACTCCCTGGTACTCGAGATCGACGGATACGCCGGGCAGATGATCGCGCTGGCGGTGGCCATCGGTCTCGTCAAGCTCCGGGTGGAGAGGCCGGATTTAAAGCGTCCGTTCAAGGCGTGGCTTCCGGCCGTGTTTTTGAGGATAGCGCTGAGCTGTGGGTTGTTGGCTGCGCCATTCTTCCGGCCTCCGGGTGAGACGGCGACGTATGCGGTTGTGGGATTGAGCATGTAAGTCACTGGCCTCTTATGTGAAGATCAATGCTAATAGGTACAGATTCGCTTTGGGTGTTGTATACTGGTACATGTGGACAATCGCGATTCCTCGCTGGCGAGGAACCAGGCTAGAGGAGGAAACACACGTGCTAGAAGATGGGACCACCATCACCAAACTAAGATATCAGTAGACGAGAAAGTCGGTTGGCACTCTCGGTAGAAACAAATGGGCATCTCCCGTCACCGTACCCTGCCGTCTTACCGTGAACCAGTTCTTGGCACAGCCTCTAACAAAACAAACCAGCTCATGTTAGCGTAGGGGAGCCCAAACGAACAGGGGCATGATCCCAGCTCGTGTTTCTCTGCCCAGATCTGGCAGCGCTTATCATTGCTGATCCGCTCTCGACTCTTCAAGACTGCCCCCAACTTGACTCACGCTGAAACTCGTGCGGCCCCCCTTATCTGCCGGCAGTACTCTTTGATTTGCTTCTTTTACGGAGTCTCCACAGGAACAAACGTTGAACGGGGCCAGCACATGGAAGAATCCGTACCTTGTGAGCTCAGCTTGGCAGAACCGTACGGAGGAACAGCATCCTTACCAGGGTCGAACAGGCCAAGGCAGACTCGGCTCATTCAATGACCCGTGCTAACAAACAAATCTTGCAAATATTTTGCGGGCCCTGGTAGAAACGACAATATTACCTCTCTCTTAAGATCTCCAGATATCGAGAAGCATGGGGATCTTTCGGCCGAGTATATTTTTAAGAATGCACATCGTCATTCCTTTCCCCAGCTTGACAACTGCAAATCCTCAATAGTCTCCGATAAAGACACTCAATAGACCCGATTTGATGATGACTCTGACAGGAGACAGTCTCGCGCCGTTTAGCAAGCCACAATGACCGAAAAAAAAGCCTCCTGCCGCCGACTTCATTTTAAAATTACACAGAGCGTTTTTGGGTCTAAATCGGGAGTGGTCTCCACTTGGAACTTGTTTAGCCAAGAATTGGTAGGGCAGAGACAAACAGGTTCCGCGGGAGATGGGCAGATGAACCTTGTTTTTTCTGGAAAAAGAGACCGGTTTTCTTTGCTTTCGCTATTCTCCGAGATTGTCGGTCGTCGGCCATCGCGGTCTACGGTAGGCGAGGTCTGTTAGTGCTGTGCAATGCAAGCTGTGATGCTGCGAAATACGCGCCCAGTCCAAAAAGGGGTGGAGATTCGTGGCGCTGGCTACTCACCTCTCAAGAGCTTGTACGTACGTTGGATCAGCTTGTCAGGAGAAAAGAAGAAGAAAGAGGAGCCAGACTGCTTACACAAACTCTTCACAACTCGTAACCATCGTCTTTCACAAACAACAGCTACAAAACAACTCTTCTCCAACATCTCCATCTTCTTCCAGCCTTGCGTTTCAGACTCCGGTATGTCTCTCCCTACTCAGCCCCAACATCAACATCCCCTCTCCTTCTCCATCTCCCTCTTCCTTCAATCTCACGTGTACCACGCCGTCGGTTCCGACGTTGACAAAAACCTTTTCGCCCCTCAGTCGTCAACCCGACCCCTGACTAACTAAGCGGGGGACCCACGCTTACAGGGATCATCGACCAGCTTCCTAACCGCCACCCAGCTGAACTATCGATTCTTCCTATTAGGGAGGCGTCGATAGCCTCAGCGCGTCTGCAGCTGAACTTGCCCCCCCCCCTCCCCTGACTGCTTGTGCCTCGTTCCTGGCTAGACCCCTCCTGAACTAGAACGACATGTTGGCTTGCGAGCTTTCCGCGCGCCGGACCCTCGCCGTCCAACCAAGTGCATCTCGCCCTGACCTCATCACCGCTTCTAGTCGGAGAGACGGCGTCCTTTTTTGTTGGCGCTCAACTTCTGGGCTCATCCACCCGCGGGCTTAGTTCCACCGTTTGACCATGAGCCCGGAAGAGTCTCTCTCTTGACGCTAGACCGGGTGGTCCGATCGGTTAATTTCACCCAGTGGTGATGGCAACCTCGGGACTGTGAGTCGTATATATCCCGCCAGAAGCCTGGCATCCTTCACAGGGTTTCTTTTCTCACTTCAGCGGTACCATTCTTTTCTTCCGTTGTTGCTGTTGTCGTTCGTTAGACAGTTTACTCGCTCATTATCACCAAACGGATCTGTTTCTTCAGTTCCTACTACAATCGTTTCTCAACTTAGTCTAATCTCTATTCACACAACAATGCCTTCTGCCAAGGTCTTCACGGCCGTCCTGGCCGTTTTGGCCGTTCCCCTGGCCAGCGCCTCGCCTTGCCGTCCCAAGGTCACCACTAGCCTGACTGCCACCAGCACCGAGTCTGCTTCCAGCACCGAGTCTGCCAGCACTGACAGCACCGGCAAGGGAACCGACACCACTGCCACCAGCACCACTGCCTCCGAGACTGGCAGCACCACCATTTCTGTGTCTACCACCGAGACTCAGTCCAGCGAGACCCAGTCCAGCAGCACCGTCTCTGCTTCGGCCTCGACCACCTCCTCCGGAGCTTGCACTTACTACACTCCTATTGAGCCTCAACCCGAGGACTGCGGAAACCTGGGTTTCGCCACCAACACTGAGGGCAGCACCATCCCCGGTGACAACACCGCCTACAGTGCCCAGGACTGCGGTAACCTGTGCGGCAAGACCCTCGGCTGTGTCTCTTTCTCCTTCAGCGACAACCCCCTCGTTGCCACTCCTTGCACACTGTACACTCTCTCCCGCGAGGATCTTGGCTTCTACGGTTCTGAGATCGCTGGTTGTCAGATGTTCTACGACCTTGAGAACTGCTTCAGCTGTGGCCACGAGACTGCCTCGTCCACCACTGGTTCCAGCAGCACTGAGTCTGCTTCTCAGTCTACCACCGAGACTGTCTCTACCACGGCTACTGCTACCGCCACTTCCTCCACCGAGACCGTCTCTTCTTCCACTGAGACTGTGTCTTCCTCCACCGAGTCTGCTTCCTCTTCTACGGAAACTGCCTCCTCTTCTACCGAGACTGCTTCCTCGTCCACTGAGTCGGCTTCTTCTTCCACTGAGACCGCCTCGTCCTCGACTGAGTCTGCTTCTTCTACCGAGTCTGCCTCTACCACAGCTACTGCTACCGCCACCTCTTCCACCGAGTCTGCCTCGTCCTCCACCGAGACCGCCTCCAGCTCTACTGAGACTGCCTCTACCACCGGAACCACCACAGCCTCTACTGAGTCCACCATTGGAACCACAACTGCTTCCTCGACTGAGTCTACCACTGGAACCACCACCGCTTCCTCAACTGAGTCCACTACTGCTTCTTCTACCGAGAGCACCACCGGAACCACCACTGCCTCTTCCACCGAGAGCACCACCGCTTCTTCCACCGAGTCCACCACCGCCTCTTCTACTGAGAGCACCACTGCTTCGTCTACCGAGTCTACCACTGCCTCGTCCACTGAGTCTACCACTGGAACCACCACCGCTTCCTCGACTGAGTCCACGACTGCTTCTTCCACCGAGAGCACCACTGGAACGACCACTGCCTCCTCGACCGAGTCTACCACTGCCTCTTCCACCGAGAGCACCACCGCCTCGTCCACCGAGTCCACCACCATGTCGACCACCTTCTCCTCCTCCACCATTGGCACCACCTCGACAACCGCTGCCCCCAGCACCACCACCTCGGAGGCCTGCACCTACTTCACCCCCATCGTCCCCGCCCCCGAGGGCTGTGGTGTCCACGGCACTGTCGACTCTGGCTGCGACAAGCACTGGCTCGGCGTCGCCTTCGAGATCGAGTCCCAGAAGAAGTGTGGTATCGAGTGTCTTGCCAAGCCCGGCTGCAAGTCTTACAGCTTCGCCAGCTTTGGCAACATGTGCCAGCTCTACGACGCTCCTCTCACCGCCCTCAAGTTCAAGTCCTGCAACTACGAGACTCCCAAGTACTACGACATTGAGAAGTGCTACGGCTGTGCCCCTGAGCCTGCTACCACCACCACCGCCACTACCACTGCCCCTCCCAGCAGCACATCTGCCGTCTGCCCCAAGTACACTGCCTCCTTCAGCCAGTGTGAGCGAGACTCCAACTGCGGAACCCGCGGCTACGTCAAGAACGGCGTCGTCATTGGTAACGGCGACAACGACAGCCTCGGAGCCTGCGCCAAGACCTGTATCGAGTCGAGCACGCATTGCGAGTTCTTCATGTTCACCAAGAAGCAGAACGGCAACGCTGCCAAGTGTATCCTGTACTCTGGCGGCAAGGTCAAGGAGAACAACTACATGGTCGACTTCTTTTACGAGCCCAAGTGCTTCAGCTGCAAGTGGCCCAAGAAGCCCAAGAAGAACAGTCGCTTCCCCGACTACTAAGCGTCCTAGCCTGGGCCTTCTCGTGAGGCTGCGGCGGCTTGTACAAACGACTGCTTCACGAGTGTAACTGTTTCACCTTCTAGGACATGTTGAGTGTTGATTGAAGCGGAGGAAAACGGAGTGCACATATATGTACCGTACCTAATTTCTAAATCGTCCATTTCCAGACATGAACATATACCCTTTGTATGACTATACTATAACACTTTCCTTCTTCTGTGCTCCAAGAGTTAGTTGTTCCTCCTGTCGTGATGTTTGCCATGGCTTGACTAGCCACCGTTTTCACCATCTTTAGCCGGCCGGAAGCGGCGTCTTGGTTGTGCCCGTCAAGCTGAGCCTGGGAAATTGGAATTGCCATGTCTTTCTTCCGTCCCCTTATCCAGTGGCGTCTCACTTTCTGCCTCTGGTGCCGGCCGTCTTGGCGTTTGTCAAGCGGATAAGATGGGTTACATTGTAGATTGACACCTCTCACGGCCCGTCATCTTCGCTCAGACTCTCATCTAGTGGATCGAGTGAACCGAAGTTCATCGGACAGCCATCTTCAGTCCGTGTCCACGCGTCTTAATGTCTAAGCGGCTGGGTGTCAAACGTCATAATCCTCCGCCTCAAGCGCGTTCACCGTGGCTCTGGCAGCCCCCCCAGATGTTTAGGCATCTCCTTCTGCTTATTCCCTTTTACCACTGCTCAATCGTCAGCTTCCATAACTCATCCAACCTTGGCTAGATAAACTTACATCGATCAAACAAGTAGTAGCTCGTCACCAGCAAAATCGGCAGCGCAATTATAGACGCCGTCCACTTCCTCGCCGCCGACTTGTACCGCTTCTGAAACTCCTTGTTTTTCTCAGCCTTTTCTATACCTTGCAGAGACTGGTCCTTTGCTAGCTTGGCCTCTTGCAGTCGCTTGACGCGCTGGAGGGTCTCATTGTCTGGTGAGCGCCGGCGAGAGGCATACGACCGTGTGGCAGTCGTTGACAAGAGGCGTCGGGGTGTCGAGGGCGATTGAAGTTGGTGCTGAATGCGTTGCTGGAAAGGACATTCAGTACTGATCGCGCAAGCTCGAGGGATGCGTTCCAAGAGCTGTCTTCGAGGCGCTTGAAGTAACGACATGATGTCTTTAGAGTAAGAAAGTGATCTAGGACGTAATTGATCAATGCGACGCTGTTGGAGTCGCTTCAATTGCTGTTGAAGACGTCAAGTAAAGTTGGTGATGGAGGAAAAGATGGTTACTTGTCTTATCGATAAGCCGGAAATCCTCGGGTCAAAGGCTGCGTCACATCAAGTACAGTATCTACACAGGTATCACACCATGAATCGATTCAAATGCAACAACAATATGTATTAATCAAGCCAGGATATGACCTTGCGCTTGAACGGTAAGTACTCGAGACGGTCATCTTCACTGCAAACTCGCAGCTTTACTAAAATTGGTAATTGAGCCTAATTATACAATCACACTTCTCTCTTCCCAAACGCCTTTTGCATCTTTCCTTGCACCTTGTCCCTCTCAAGTCGCCTCAATCAGTCATCGTCTGTGTATCGAGGACCAGAAGCTGCGGGAGTCTCTGGTGCTCCATAGGCTGCAGGCGTAGGAGCGCCGTAGTAGCCACTTGCAGCTGGCGTGGGAGCTCCAGCCGCCGGAGTAGGGGCCGAGTCTGCTCCCCATCCACCCTGCCAGCCTCCAGGAGTAGGTGCGTTGACTGCGGGTGTGGGAGCCGAGTAGGCGCCTGGCGTAGGGGCGTTCATCGCGCCAGGAGTTGGTGCCCCGAGGGCTGCTCCGGGTGTAGGAGCATCGTAGGCTGAGCCAGATGCACCGGGTGTGTAACCCCATGAGTCGTTGCCGCTGGCTCCCGGGGTTGGTGCCGACACTCCCCAAGCAGGGGTCTTGGAACCTGATCCCCAACTGTCTCCTCCACCGTAAGCCGGGGTGCGTGATCCAGCACCAAAGGCATCTCCAGGGGCAGGAGTTCTGCCTCCAGCCTGCCAGGCAGGTGTGCGCGAGCCAGAGCCGTAGGCAGTTCGGTTCCCATCATAGGGGTTGACCGTTCGAGAGCCATCGGCCCAAGCGGGTGTGCGTGCTCCGGACATATCGTGAGCCTTCCAGGCCGGTGTTCGGCCACCTGCTGCGGGCGCTATTGAGAGTTAGCATCAAGAACATTGTGTCAAACAACAAAACTTACTTCGTGATCCCCAGGCAGGCACCCGATCCGAGCCACCAGAGGCCATGGGCGTGCGAGAACCTCCCTGCCATCCTGGTACTCTGTCACCACCCCGTCCAGCGCCTCCCGAGTAGCCTCCACGGCCTCGGCCACTAATCTCAATTGTAGCTCCTGTAGTCTTGTTCTTGAAGCTCAGGCAGTCTTTCGGGACTGTGATCGTCTTGCTCTTCGTATGCAGTTCGACACGAGCATGTGTGTCTGTCGTGTCCTTGACAATACCCAGTAGACCCTTGTAGGCGCCCTTCTTGATAATAACAGTCTGGTCAATCGCCTTGTCACGGCCAAAGGATTTGACGGGTTGAACGGGCTTGTTCTCATTGCCGTTCTTGTGGAGCTTGAGCGCTGGGTTCATGGCGTTCAAGTCTGGCCCTGATGATCCGCCACTGACTCGGCCACCCTTGGCCGCAATGGTGTTGACCATGCTGGCCTTGGTGACAAAGACGCCCGCATTCTCCTTGCTGTCGTTGGTGTGCAAGAACACATACGAGCGATGGATGTGGATGATCTTGCCCTGACGCTGTTGACCCGTGTACTCCTTGACGACATCCTCAAATCGAATCTCGGAGCCATTCCGGTCGGCAGCCACGGCGTTCTTTCGCTTCGGAAGCTTGTTGGCGATTTGCGATGGCATCACCTGGCGATTGTCTCCGAACTGGTCGAGAACAACAAGCGACTCGCGGTCGACCTTGACAACACAACCCACAGTGGTGGGATCCAACTGAACGAGGTCGTGAAGTGAGTACTGGCCGAGAGAACCTTGTCCACCAATGTCGCTGGCTTCGCGAAGATCCTTGCTGAAGACGGTGATTTCAGCGTTGGTCTGATCCGACAGGAGAGTTACTCGATCGTCCTGGATCTTGACAACCATTCCGACCTCATCTCGGAACTTGCTACCACCGATGACCTTGACATGGTCACCGACTCTGAACCGCTTGCGCAGAGCCCTGATGGGAACATCAATCTCCTGGCCCACGAGGTCACCCTCGGTAACCGTGATGGACACGACATCGGTTTGAACTCTCATCGCCTTACCCACCACACCCTTCTGTTCACCAGTGTAGACCTCGACAATGTCGCCAGGCAGGTATGTAGCTCGAGCTCCACTATCCTTCAAGCTAGCTGCCAAGGCCTTCAGGTCCAGGTTCTCAGTGCCATCCTCGGCATTAGAGGCGAATCGTGTGACTTCTTCAAGAGATGGCTCGACTCCGGCAACAGTAAGCTGCTGAATCTTGATATCCTTAACTTGGAACCCATTCTCAAATTCGTCGCCCATGTATTGCCAAGTGTTGGTGGTGGGGTTTCCCTGGATGTGTCGCGGGTGTCTCTTTCGAGCCTCAATCTCGCTGAACAGTCTCTGCGGCGGTCGAGGACCTGCGCTGGCGCCAAAGGGTCGCTTACGTTTGCCGTCGGCAGTAACTCCTGTAAAGGCGTCGTCGCGCATACCATAGTCCAGTCTGGGAATAAAGCGAACACGAGCCTCCAGACCATTCTCAGTAACGTCGATGACTTGCGCCAGATCTCCGCTGTGCTTCATAGGCCTCTTAAGACGGACCCAGGCGCCAGGAGCCAAAGTAGGTGTCTTTTGAACTCGGAAGAGCTCAGGCATATCCTTGATCTCGACCAGAACCATCTTGGAGTGGGGATACACATTAAGCATACTGTCCAATGCTCTCATAATGTCGGTCTGGCGTAGCGCCTCGACGTAGATGAAGCCCTTCATCACCGATTCGGTGCCACCGCGCTCAAAAGCAGCAGTGATGGCGAGCTCATCCTTGGTACCAGCTCGCTCCTCAATGCGCTTCATGATGGAAAAGACAACCTCTCGCTCTTTGCCTTCTTTACATCGGACAGCCCAGATACTGGGGTCATCAACACTGGGGAGGAGGAGTCGCTTCGGGACGATGGTAGCGTCTCGGAAGCCCTTGCCCGAGCGTCGGTTACCGTATCTCTGTCGCAGGATTTCTGCCTGCTTCTCAGCATCCATGCTCGATTCCATATCTCGGCGTCGATCGAGCTCGCGATGTCGTCGGTCGTCATTGATTCCACCAGATCCAGGCATGTCGTCGGGATGTTCGTTGGCGATAAAGTCTCCTATCTCCTCGCCAAGAACTTCGTCGTCCTCTCCTTCATCCTCGTCGTCGACTTCGGCTTCGATATCGAAGAAATTGGCGCCTCTCTCCTTGCGGCGCTTTCGACGATGCCCCTGAGAGGACAATTAGTACGGCTCTGGGAGGTGCCAGACTAACCGCTGGCGCAAAGGACAGACTCACCTGCTGGACATCCTCGTCTTCGTCATCTTCCTCCTCTTCATCCTCGTCATCATCATCATTGCGGCGTCTTCCACCGTCATCATCTTCTTCTTCGTCCTCCTCCTCTTCGTCGTCGTCGACATGTCGCGATCTTGCAGGTCGCTCGTCCTCATCGTCGTCATCACGATGCGCAGGGCTGCTGTCACGAGCTCGCGATCTCGATTGTTGATCATCACCATCTTGCTCCTCGTCAGAAACGTCGGCTGGCGCGGGATTGAAATCCTCCTCATCCTCCGAGTCGTCGAAGCGCGAAGGGTCATGAGAAGACATCGTGGCGAGGAGGCCGCGACACGTAGCGCGTCGGGGATCGGTTTTGGGGGTTTGCTCGAAGAATATGAAAGGAGGAAGAAAAAAGAATTAAGAGGCGACGATGAGAATGAAAGAAAAGAGAAGCGCTTTGATGGATGACAAAGAACTCGAGCGATGAGAGGGAGGAGGTCTGAGATTCAAGGTTTCCAGAGCTTGATGCTGCAACGGCAAAATCCCGGCCGTTGTGCAGGCAAGTCAGGCGCTGCACAAGTCGCATAACGCGTTGTGCTGCGTGTGAGCTTCAAGAATGCACTGTTAAGCGCACTGTACTAAGATCGATCGCGGCTAAGCATCAAGAACTCGCCAGGCATTGTTAAAGCATTCTGAGTCAAGTCTTTGCAAAGAGAATGATAATATTGTGCTCCTGATATGACTTCACTGTGTCTCTTGATCGAGGTCCCATCCTGAATGAGCAAAGTCGGGCAAAAGGAGCACCTCTTAACAACAAACTTGTGATACCACAAGCTTAACCGCACTAAAATCCACTCGAAGGCAATCCGTTAAGAATTAAAAGAACAGAGGATTCATTCAGTGACGAAAAACTATTCTTCGTACCTCAGAAACGCATCTCGAGTGGTGAGTGTGGCAGGGACAGCAAGAGGCAGGACTTGGAGCTCGATAACTTGACAAAGAAAATCGAGGGTTCACAGCGGATATAAAGTCAACTTCGATACATAACGCGCAAAGACTCATATGTTTGCTTAAATGTGTTTCAAGATAGTTATCCCCTCACCAAGCAATCCCCTATCATACAGAGCATCCCCTCCTCTATCCCCTTTTCTTTGTCCATCGACATTCTGTAGTGTATGTTGAATCAAGTCTATACCGCCACCCACGTCTTCGTTCCCAGTTTCCCCCCTTGAACGCATCTCGCCCCATTCTTCATACATCCCCATCAGTTGTACGCCCCGTCCCCTGCTGGCGTATCCATGACCCGCCATCGGACCAGGGGCTTTCAGGCCGTCAAGTGTCATCTGCTGTGTCGTGACTTTGCAAAACTCATACATCGCTTGGTAATCACGGCATGTGCGACCCGAGTCCTTGAAAGATCGCCAATGTCCATGATACACCTTCATGTTGTTTTCATCAACCACTAACCTGACCCAAACCAACCCGCCACCGCGCCGTCCACGTTTTGATCCAGCAATTCGACCATGTCGCAGATGCTCCGGCAACTTCAAAACCCTCGAAAAACTCCAGGCTTTGCATAATGCATGTACCATACCCTAACCAACCTCATTCTACATGAATCAATCATCAGTCCTCAGAGCAGAGCCTTAGCTTTGCCCCATGCATAACAAATGACACCGCCAGCCCATTACAGGTCTTTACATGACTCGAGTTCCCCAGATGCCACGTCCAGCACTCACTCCAAGCCACTCGCCGCAGTCCGAGTTGGGCAGATGAGGCACCCAGCCGAGATTTCCAACCTCGTAGTCGCATTGCCAGCTGGCCACAGGGCTTCTAGGGTTATCCTGTTGAGGCGCGCCGTTCATAGGCTGAGATCCATGGTTGTTGGAGCTGAGGAGATCCCAAAGGAGAACCTGACAGTCGTCACCACCAGAAGCAAGCATACCCCGCCGTAGAGGCGACCATTCGATGCAGTTGATAGCTCCACCGTGACCGCGGAGTTCGAGCAGGGCCTGGCCTGGCTGTCTAACGTCCAAGATGCGAATCGTGTTGGAGTCTTGAGCAAACGTAGCGAGGAGATGAGTGTCGTGTGGTGAGGTAGCAAGTCGTAGCAAAGGTGGAGGGTTTGCCATTGTCTGCTGGGCCAGCGTTGGGCTGATTCGACCACCGTTGGGGTCTGGATATCTGTCAGTAGATGTACCAATTTTCAAGTCAAGGAAACCCACCTCTCTCCTCCTTGCCGGTGGGTTCATAGATGATGGTCGAATGCTCCAAGCTTCGCAAGTCAAACATGCGAACGCTTCCGTCCTGACCACAGCTAACAAATACGTCTACGCTCTTAGCGCAGAACCGCACATCGTAGACCTCCTTATCGTGGGCAATGAGTTGAGTCTTTGCGGTGAGCGAGGGAATATCCCAGATAGTACATGTCGTATCTATGCTAGACGTAATAATGAGACTTGGGGAGACGGTGTTCCAGTCGAGTGACGTGAGTGGTGCGGTGTGGTCTGGTGTCTTTGAGTTGGATAACAGAGCAAGCGGCGTCAACTTGGTGACGGCATTGTCACGTCGGCCAATCGTGTTGCTAGGAGTTGAAGGATTCTCGTTGGGCAGAGACCATAGACGCAGGTGGTCGCCCGAAGTCGCAAGCAGGTCAGTAGACTGCTTCTGAGAAGAGGGCGGCTCCCACAACAATCGAGTCACGGGGTAAGAGTGGGTGGCTTCGGCCACTTTGGTGAAGTCGAGGCTGTACTTGGATGTGCCTGGCGTGTAGACGTCCTGGGGAGTTTGAACGATGTGACTATCGAGGATTTGGATCTGGAAATGTTAGCAGGTGGGTGAAGATGCGTTGGCATGTTATCAACGCACAAAGTTGTGGCCATCCTCAAGATAGCTCCCCACAGCCAGCTTGCCAGCACCGTTGCCCTGAGGTGGCCATTTACACCAGTCAAAGGCGTAAATAGCCCAGGGAGCCAGATAATTGCTCGTTCCAGGTTGCGCGACGGCTGAGTCGTATCCTCCAATGTTAGCTGGAGCGCCATCAGACATGCTCGAGTCGGCTCGAGGACGAATGTCGGCTAGACCAAGCGGGGTGTTGGAGATGGTGCGCTGAGAACCGGGAGCATTGTACTTGGAGGGGTCGAGCGGCGACATGAGGTGCGAGGAAGAGGCGCCGCCAGGCGTCGTAGGAGTATAGGCGTGGTAGTTCGAGGAGCCGTCGTAGGCAGCGGCTGGGCTCGACCGCGAGTAGCTATGGGACATGCTCAGCGGGGGCTTGCTGGGAGTGGCGGCAGACGCGCTGGCGTAGTCGTGGGGCTGTTGGCCGTGCTGAGACTGAAGATGCAGTGACTGCTGGGAGTGGTGAGAGTGCTGCTGGTGTTGCGGCGGCGGCTGGTGAGAGACAGATGAGGCAGGAGAGGCCTGCTGCATCGGCGAAGCCAAGTTGGGCGAGGCTGGGGCACCGCGAGCGGACAGGCCACCGGCGGGTTGGAGGACGTTGGGCACCGAGGACGCGGAAACGGCAGCGGACTGGTACTGGGGGTTGGCAGGCGACTCCTGGAGCTTGATCTGGGGCGCGAATTCGTAGTCTTGCGGCGACATGGAGATTGGAGCACCGGTCTGGCTCAAGCCCGGCATGTGCAGTTCGTCTTGCTGAGACTGAGAGCCGGAACCAGAACCAGACATGTACGAAGAGGAGCCCACCTGCGTCTGACGCAGTGAATGGGGGAACTGCTGTGATTGGCTCATTGCGACTGAGGTGTTCTAACTTCTGGCTGGGGGCCCTTTTGGCCAAAGAAGCTCGGTGGGCTGGCGCCAGAGACCGGAACAGATGGTGGAACAGTGGCTGGACGAGGGGAAAAGAGTTTAAAAAAAGAAGCGCGCAGACGACAACGGGAGATGCAAGTCGGGAACTGGACTGGAGTCAGTCAGGGTGGGTTAACAGAATCTCCCTCGGCCGTTCGCTGCTGAGATGCGAGGGTCTCGCTCGGCAGTTGATGGCTTGCAGTCGTCCGTCCCATCCGGGTGCCAGGTGCCTTTTGCTCGCAGGAACAGAGGAAACGAACCCTCGACCTTGGGTGTATTATTGGGCGCGCATCAGAGACAAGAAAAGGTTGAAGAAGGGGAAAAGAATGGGCTGCGAACGATGCTCAGCGGGGAGTTTGGAGAAGTGCGGGTGCGGGCGGCGGAGACAGTTCCGTTTGAGTCGATCGGGCGAGGCTACCAAATAGCGCCCAGGCAGAGGTGAAGGAGGCGGATACGAGTGTTTAATGAATGGTTCGCACCAAGAAACAGCCGAGTTCTCGATGCCGAGGGCAAACAGATGCACCTCGCGAGAAGATGTTTGCTGCAAGTTGACGGCCAGGTGGCAGTTGGTGGTGGTGGAAATGAAAACCAATCTTGCCTGGTTTAGAAGTCCTACCTGCCCAAGGATGCGCCTTCCACTTCCAACGTTACCACCTCCTGATATGATATGCGCCGGAAGAATGAAACCGCAGCAAGGAAATGCGATCAAGGCCCATGTATTATGATCAACCGTTAGGCATGCTTATCAACGGTAGATATCGTGTCTTAGATTGCTCATTGCTCGTGCTGACGGCCCTAAGCTTTTGCATCTGCTGCAAGTTCTCTGATAAGGCACGCCATAAGGACTAGAGGAGCATATGATAGAATCTGCCTGCACGCAACACCTTTAGCTAAGGTTCTTCTGACATGCTGATAGGCAGGTGTCACGGAAAGCCTACAGAGCTCACCTTCACTTTAATCACATGGAGGGCAAGTGAAACCCCCGTGACGCGGCCGAAGGTCCCCACTCCCCGCGCCTGTGGATCGCAGGAGCTCCCAAACGGGGAATCATGGCAGGTGCACCCCAGGCGGGCGCATGCCAACCCTGAGAGCTTCAATTCTCAGCTTCAAATCTCCTTGTGACCTTATCCAACCACCATATGCTATTTTCAACGACGGATTCTACTTCAACAACTGGCCTTTTCGGAATCGCGATACTTGATGCAATAAATCTCACAGACTGTGGCTGGCAGCGCTCGACCGATCCGGTGTGAGACAGCTCTTACCCGACTCTGAGCGCATGTAGGCGACCGTCTTCTCTTTGCGACGCTGGTCCCTTCTACCTCTCCTCACCGCATACCAACTCTCGCAACCGAATTACCCCTCCTCAATATGCCGTCACCGTCTATCCTCGACCGCATCTCGAGTCCTCGCCAGGGGTTCTCCAGCTTATCGATACGCAGCCCTCCTGCTCGAGAAGTCAGCGAGTATGACTTGGATGACCTCGAACCGCGAGCTGAAGACCCTATCCTCGACCAAAGGCCTCCAGGCCCCAGACTCAGAAAGCCACTTCAAGCCACTTCCACTACTTCAACTCGACAATCCTCTTCCCCATCTTCGCGCGATGGTAAACGTCGCTACTCCGACTCTCCCTCCCGAACGAGACCGAAGCCACTCTACGCCGGACCACCGCCTCCAATTGCTGCGTCGGGCCTAATCCACCAGCGTTCTTCTCAACAACCAATTCCTTCGAGCCAAAGTGACAGCGTGTGGGGATATGGATTGCTGTCACCAACCCGGTTCGGGCTCGGCACCAGTTTGCTGGACCAGAAGCCGCCGGAAAGCCACCCTCGTCGCGATTCAATATGGCGGAGTATGCAGCGAAGAGAGAAAGCTATCGAGCGCGAGATTCAAGAGCTTCTAGACCTCCAAGCCTCGGGGTTGATTGCTGGTAGCGGGAATGGTTCTGAGAGGGACTTTGAACGGGACAGCGACACTGGCGAAAGCACATTTTACTCGACAGCCACCTCCAAGTCACAAATGGTCAACTCTTTGCACATTCCGACAAGATCGACACGAGAAGGGAACGTCATTCCGGTGCGACAGCCTCCTCCGAAAAAGCCGAGAGGATTGAAGTCAGCTCGAACTGGCCTTCACCAGTCCATGCATGCATTATTCCAACTAAAGGCGGAAGAGGATGCCCATCTGGACACAGCGCTGGCACAAAGGAAAGATGCCCTAGCCTACCTCGACAAGATCAGCACAAGAAGAGATGAAATTTATACCGAACTTGACACACTTGAGAACAACGAGGAAGAACCCCTTGGTCAGGAGTTGCGCGAGCTTGGCGCAGAACGAGAGGCTTTAGATCAAGATATCCGCCGGCTTGAAGAGAAATTAGTTGGGATGCGAAATCGTCGTCGGTGGGTACGAGAGAAGATGGAAGATGTGAAGAACCGAAGAGAGGCAGGCTTGAGCGGATACCGAGCTGCTGGACGAGATGTGGATATGGAAATACGAGCCCTGATGCAACGACCACCCATCACTCCATTGGATATCGATGCTCTTGGGCCCAGCGCAAGGTCGCAATCAAGGGAAGACGTCGAATCACTGCGGGGAACAGAATTTCTACAACTGAGGCCGGAGCGCCGTACAGCGGAGATGGCTAGGACGTGGTGGCAAGGAGAGATCGGGATCCTCGAACGTCGCAAAGCGCAGATATCGAAAGATCGCCAGGCTCTCGACGAGGGATCTCGGGTGTGGACCGAGGTGATTGGCATCGTCGCCGAGTTTGAAGCTGGGCTCCGGGAGCTGATAAAGACCGGACCAGTCAACGACTCTGATGAATCTCAGCAGACCAAGATGCAGAATCATCTGGCAAAGATGGACTCTGTCGTTGAAGCCCTGGAGGAGCGACTGGGTGTAGCTGAGCAGAAGGGTTGGAACCTTCTCATCTGCGCTATAGGCGCCGAGCTGGAAGCCTTCTTGGAGGCTAGAGCACTCCTCAGGGACTCGCTTGGTGTCTCAGATGAACCTCCAGTCACGGAAGAGTCGTCCGATGCCAATGAATCAAGGGAGGAATCCGAGGAACCAAGCCAGGAAAATCATGACGAGAGTCACGATGAGAGCGACAATGAAGTACCATCCGACTTGTTGGTATCAAGGTTCGAGGATCACGACCATGATCCTCCGGACAGTCCTCAACAGCAGAGCGTGGTGCTCAGACGGGATAATTCCGAAAACAGTGACGTTCCACCGGCGTTTCTGACAGAACCTCAACAGAAGGTGGACTGAGAGGAGTGTTTACGTTTTAATATGAATGATGACAGTGTACGGACTTGAATAGATATCAGACTACAAGGGTTGAGGCGTGTAGTGTCCCCAAGATTGACCTCAAGCAAAGAGTAGTTGGACAAGGGAAGCAGGAGTTTTTCTCATGAATTCGGTATCATTGATCCAATGTTCGCATTCCTAATCATATATACCCGAACGCCGCTATCAAGATCTGGTGCGTCGTGAAGAGCCGAGGTTCGTGCTTTGTCATGGTGGTAGGTAACGTAAGACTTGTCCCGCCTCTTCCAAGTGCCCGTAGCAGAGTCGTCGGTGCGTGTGCGCAAATGTATTGGCGCCCAGAAAACGTACGTAAATCATCAATCGCATCCCAAGGTTTGGCCGTGATCGTGCTCGAGTCGGAGGGGGTGCATGGTATCGAGCCAAGTAAGCGGTGAACCCGCAGACTCCCGTCAAGTTCGAGCTCATCGAGTCCTCTCAAAGAAGCCGCTCGAGCCGGCAATGGCGACAGACTGATCCATAACCCATTCACCAACTCCCAGGTACTTGGAGATCCAGCCAGAAACGTCCTTGTTCTCGCCGGCGACCTTGTCCGTCTTGAAACTGTATCCAAACGATTCGTGTTAGAGCGTTGTTTTCCCATAGGCGGTGTAATCTCGAAAAGGGGGAGAGAGCGCAGAGACTCACGTCAAACCGGTCGATCGCTTCATTCCAGCGAGGAAAGCCGAGACTATGGCATACGTTAATGGTTTGTCATGCAAAGGAGGCCAAGCAATCCGCGAAACGAGCAACCTCGGCATAGGGTTGGATAACTCACTAAGAACGGCGTCAAAGGCATAATGCGTCAACCGTCCGACCTTTGACCAGAGTCCCAGAGTCAGCAGGTCGAGGAGCTGCAAGAGAAAAAAGTCTTTAGACGTGCCAGGCCAGAGAGCGACAGCGGCATCAGACAAGAGCAGGAGCTCGAGAGGAGAGACAGGCTTCAGGGTCGGGAAGCGGGGGAAGTACATACCACCATGATGGGCAGCTTCTATTGAGATGTGTAGGGCGCGGTTTGAGTGGATTGACGTTGAATGACCCTAGCGTAGGTCTATAATTGTTTCCCGTAGTTCGATCTGAATCGCGAATAGATACAAGGCTGGTCGTTCAAGGTGATAGACAGTTGATGGAGTCGCTAGTTCGTCATGCGACAACGCCAGCTGGGGAACGGGAGTCTGGGGTGGGTCCCCGGCTCACCGGCGCCGAAAGCTCCGGGGAACGTTGGACCCAAGCACACACTCTCAGCTGCCACCTTCAAGTTTCACGTGTCGACGGAGACTCAAGATCTGAGCGTCCCAAATCGCTGGGTCCCGTGACATGTGACATGGTGATAAAAGATAACGACAACCTCAGTTGAAAGAGGAAGAAATCACCGGGGTTGAGCCGATGAAAGATGGCTAGGCCAAGAATGGGTAGAGGTTCTGCTGGAGTCAGTCTTTGGTGGCGCACATTATAAATGAGGCATCACCATCACTCAGGACAAGCCTCAGGGCGGAAGTTCCAGATTAGGAACTAAGACGGCGAGGCTCTGAATGGTCTGGTCTGGACTGACCCGGTCATGATGGGTCTCATAAACGATGCAGCACACGTTTCCATCTGCAGCTATTCAGCCGCTAGCATCGTAGTCGCCGTCGACGACCCCTCAGCGACTCAAATTCCTGGCATTCGGCCTTACTCGAACCGAGCCCAGAAAAAAAAAACCGAGTCCAGACGGTGGAGGGGTCCAAAGGTCCAAGGGTCCCAAAAGCACCGCCGAGCTCTCCGTTTTGTCTAGAGCACGAGATGGAGGAGGGGGAGGGGGCAAAGCAAAAGCAAAATCCCTCATGATGGACCCCCGCGTGGGCCAGACTTCTTGTTACATGTTCGCTTCCTTCGCCCCCCAACGGGTGATATCTACCGATATCTGGAGATGGAGTCGGTCAGAATGCCGTTACTCAATGCGATGAGATGTGTCTGAAACCTCATTCGCGCCTCTTGATTGAGGGGCTGCTTGTAAGTGGGTTCCCGCCGGCGTCTTTTTTTCTGTTGAAAGACAGGTCGGTCAGCAAAAAAAGCCATGAGGGATGCCATGCCAAGCGTCTTGATCGATTTGTCAAGAGATGGGGGCTTGTTCGTTTTGAGCTTGAAAAGGCATTCTCCGGCAGCGTGGAATTGTCTCCGCGGTCAAGAGTCTCTCCGCATCGACATGGTTGTAGTTGCGGTTTGAACCCTAACAACCTGTCTTGAGTTGGGTGTAATGACGGGAACCAAGAACTCATGACAGCACTGTAAACCGTCCCTGCTTGATAGGCCCAGCTGACAGTATCATGGGCCCGTTGTCTCTCCTTGCGCGTCATCGTCATAGACATGTGCTCTCTTATACTGTAATGGTTGAGCCGAGTCGTCACCTGTGTCTCAACTCCAACCGCCTTCTAGGTTGAGGTAGGGAATGGCCCTGCAGCTATCTCCATGCCAAGAGGCGCCTCCAACCCTTACCTGTATGCAATAGTCACACAAACCCCGACTCCAATCGTATCAGCAACCTCAGCAACATGCCGCTCAAATAGCTGACTGATTGGGTCCCCTTGCCTGCCAGAGCCCAATCAACGCCTCGCCAGCCGTTGTTGAGGCGTTAGGTAGAGTGACAAAACAAGGTCAAGGTCAGTGCCCTTGAATCTGATCGAATGAGGGGAGAGGCAGCTCATTCGCTGGTGCTGGGCGCGTCTTTACGTTGGCACCATCAAGTACCCTGCCCGTGGGAGGGAGGAAAAAGTGACTCAACGGTTTTGTACGTGTACAAAGAGGATACAGTCAGCGACGAGCCGAGGATGACAGCTTGAGCGCTGAATATTGGAACATGGGCATCGTGATGCTGAAGCAATGGCCGAATATTGCTTTTCATTTTATAGCTTCGTTTTTTCTTCTTTTCTCGCAGGGTAGGTACGATGCATCTCCAACCCACTTGCCTGTGTGGGACAAAGCAGTTCGCGAGCGAGGGAAGGAGCTAATGTACTGTCGGCTGCTGCAGTAGCGGGCGGAGCACTTTGCCCCGAGAGGCCACTGTAACGATGGTAAAAGCCACCCAACGCAGCGGCGGGGATTGGTGGGGGAGGCAGCTACCCAGGAGGGCAAGGCAAGCAGCTCCAGGTAGCGCCTTGCTGCAACCTCCAACGACGACATGAACCATGGACGAGAGGCAAATACGCTGTCCATGGGTGTCTCTGAAATGCTGAAGCCTCAAGAAAGCTGCGAGATTCTGTAGAGATGGCTAAATTAATGAAATCGAAATCTAGATCTATGATACAGACCCCTTGAGCTTCTCATCTGGCATCTGACACGGAAAGCGGGGTGCAAGGAAGCTCCCCATAATTTTTGAACCAGATCGCCAGAATGCAAGAAAAAATAAGAAAAATAGCTCCCCCATCTCACCAAAAACTACAGGCAAAAATGAGGCGGACTGGGAATTCTCCGTACCTCTTGGGCATGTACTCCGTAGCGCTACATCGCTCGTGGTTCCTTTCTGGCCTGGTGGCAGTGCCTTACCTGCCCATGGTAAGGTGAGGTACGTATGTTTTGTTGTCCGGGGAGGAAGGAGCAGAGAAAGGTGGTGGCCTCGTTAGGTTTTTTCCCTTCTTTTATTTTATCTCATCACCACCATCACCACACACCAACTTTACTTTTCCTCTTTCTTTTCTTCTTCTTCATCCTCCCTCCGGTTCTTCTCCCTCTGCCGCCTGCAGCCTTATCCTCTCCGCCTCCACTCCACCCCTTTTATTGTCTCGACCTTCGCAAGCTTCCTCGTCCGTCATCGAACGTCCTGAAATAACACCAGGGAGAACGCACGTTCCTCTTTCACTCTGACCACCTCATCTTCTTTGATTACTATCGTACGGTGCTACACTCGTACAACGAAGACCAAAGACTCCTGTAAGTCGACCTGCTGCACATGAATGGAGACGACCGCGGTGGCTTGGGCCCAGGGGAACGAGGGATCCAGTCTGGCAACAGATGGGATGGCGATAGCAGGCAGTGGCAATATCTGGCTCGACAGGATCGCATCGCATAGGCATATCGTGCTCTGTCAGGGCATGGTCCTCTTTTGCGATTCGAAATCACACCAGATTGTCGAAATCCGTCTCGCCTCGTCTCTAGGCCCGATTATTCGACGGCCCGACATCTGTTTGACCCGGCCCATCAGCTCAGCTTCTGAGCCATGTTGTCTCTCTGCCCCAGCCAAGCCAGTCCAGTCCAGCCCTTCTGCGTCGCGCCGATTGCTCTGCCCACCAACAAATGCCACACGCCCCATCGCAATCGCCCATCCCACCACGTCACTTCACGCCAGATCCATGCTCGCCGCCCCAGCGCCCGCCCCTTGTCCTTGCCCACAGCTCAGGACATCTGGGTGGTGCACTGCAAGTGCCCGCATAACGACCTGATGTCTCCCTGGGCTGGTCGCAGCGTTTGCTACAGGTGTCTTGTTTGTCCGGCAGACATATAACGTTTGCTCTGTCCGATTGCATCTGTCTTGCTTCTTCCCTGAATCCTCATCCTTCACTTCCACCACCTGAGCTACCCCGCCGATAGCTCCTCCACCACCCACCAATTTATCTTTGATAGTCGGTTTTGTAGCTAACCCCTCCTTTCACAATGGCTCAGAGACCTTCGCACAAGCGCGCCCAGAGCATCATGGCCGCCACCGCTCAGGACCACCTCGAATTCGGAGGCAAGATCTCGTGGCTTGCCTCCCTCAACACCGCCTACCGACCTCAGCGCAACTACCGCCGCTCCTCCATCATCTGCACCATCGGCCCCAAGACCAACTCGGTCGAGGCCATCAACAACCTCCGTGATGCCGGTCTTAACGTCGTCCGCATGAACTTTTCCCACGGATCGTACGAGTACCACAAGTCGGTCATTGAGCACGCCCGCGAGTCCGAAAAGACTCACGCCGGCCGCAACGTCGCTATTGCTCTTGATACCAAGGGTCCCGAGATCCGAACGGGAAACACCCCCAACGATGAGGATATCCCCATCTCTGTTGGTCATATCATGAACATTACCACCGACGATGCCTACGCCACCGCCTCCGACGCCGAGAACATGTTAGTCTGATACTTTTGCGCATGCCTATTCTTGCTGACCTCTCTAGGTACGTCGACTACAAGAACATTACCAAGGTCATCGAGCCTGGCCGTGTTATCTACGTCGACGACGGTGTCCTCGCCTTTGACGTTCTCAGCATCGAGAACGAGCAGACCATCAAGGTCCAGGCCCGAAACAACGGCGCCATCTGCTCCAAGAAGGGTGTCAACCTTCCCAACACCGATGTCGACCTTCCCGCTCTTTCCGAGAAGGACAAGGCCGATCTCCGGTTTGGTGTCGAGAACGGTGTCGACATGGTCTTTGCCTCGTTCATCCGCCGCGCCCAAGACATCATCGATATCCGTGAGGTTCTCGGTGACGAGGGCAAGAACATTCAGATCATCGCCAAGATTGAGAACCGACAGGGACTTAACAACTTCAAGGAGATTCTCGAGGAGACTGACGGTGTCATGGTTGCCCGTGGTGACCTTGGTATTGAGATTCCCGCCGCCGAGGTGTTTGCTGCCCAGAAGAAGCTCATCGCCATGTGCAACCTTGCTGGCAAGCCCGTCATCTGCGCTACCCAGATGCTCGAGTCCATGATCAAGAACCCCCGTCCCACTCGTGCCGAGATCAGCGATGTCGGTAACGCCATCACTGACGGAGCTGACTGTGTCATGCTTTCTGGTGAGACGGCCAAGGGTAGCTACCCCTCCGAGGCCGTCAGGGAGATGCACGAGGCTTGTCTCAAGGCTGAGAACACCATCCCCTACGTCTCCCACTTCGAGGAGCTGTGCACCCTGGTCAAGCGACCTGTCAGCACCGTCGAGTCCTGCGCCATGGCTGCTGTCCGTGCCTCTCTGGACCTTGGTGCCGGTGGTATCATTGTTCTGTCGACCTCGGGAGAGTCGGCCCGCATGCTGTCCAAGTACCGACCCGTGTGCCCCATCTTCATGGTGACGCGAACCCCCACAACTTCTCGATTCGCCCATCTGTACCGTGGCGTGTACCCCTTCCTGTTCCCCGAGGCCAAGCCTGACTTCTCTGAGGTCAACTGGCAGGAGGATGTGGATCGCCGCATCAAGTGGGCCGTCAACAACGCCCTGCAGCTCAAGGTCCTGACCCCCGGCGACACCGTCGTGGTTGTTCAGGGCTGGAAGGGTGGTATGGGTAACACCAACACCCTGCGCATTGTCAAGGCCGACCCCGAGCACCTTGGCATTGGCCAGCTCAACTAAGAGCAACGTCTTGTGGCTGAGGCCTTGAGACCGGAGTGGGGAGTGATTTAATGCACATAAGTAATGATAGACAGGGTAACGGTTGTTTCCAGGGTTTAGGGTATCGGAATTACGAGTTCTGAACAATCAAAGGAATAAAGGGCAAGACCCCATTCAGCATAATCGTGTCTCTGTGCCTCCAGTGACTGTTTCATATTGTCTATCATCTTATCCTGATACTGACTTGTTTAACTCTTATCGAGATGGCAAGGCGGTGACCAAGTTGTCGTCAGCAATGCTTCGTATACGCATCGTGAAGGATCATGCAGGGAGATGGACAAAGCGCCAGCCGCGCGGAAGAGGCAGGTAGCCTATATGATATGACATGAAGTTACTTTGGCTGAAGGCAACGGATAAAGTTCATGCATCCTCACCGTCAGCCCGACGCCAACCAGCCAACAACGTGGGCATATGCGGCCAAGGATTAGCTATGATATGATAACCCGAGGGAGAGGCAAGCAAAAAGCCACGATGCAAGGCGATCAAGGAATCTTTGCATGGACACTTGAAACCCCTGGACGATACGATACGATACATGAGATCATGATGCGGCCTTGGTCCGTGTGCTAGGGCTCTAAAGAGTGGGCTGATTTCACGTCAGGGGAAAGAGTCATAGCCTCGAGATGGCATGATGTTTGTTGGAACCTTTCTCGGGCTATTACTAGTGAGGCCTCGTTCGGGAAGGGCATGTCGTTGGCCTGGAACTCCAGTTTCAGCCTTTGTTCTAGAAGCGAAGCACAGGCGGGTGTATCCGCTAGGCTTGGCATGAGGCGAAGAAAAGTCATGATGAGGGTTTGGGTCTGTGCTTTGAGGGATAGTTTTTGCATCAGGCCATTATTAGGGTTGTCAAGGGGATGTGTTGAGGGTTTGGTGTTTGGATGGGGGTATTCTGAGTTCTTTCCATCTGCATCAGCATGTGCAGTAAGGGGTTGATCGAGAATCGATACAGGAACGTTGGAACAAGTTGCTACAACAAAGGAGGGCTCATTGTTCTCGAGAAGATGTTCAACCACATGTGGAGACTACTCAAGTCGTACTCACATATATGAGCAAGCCGAATGTTCGAACAATGGCGAGAAGGCCAAGTACAGAGATAGATACAGAGTTTGAAGACAGGACTTTACTGAACTCCATGTTTTTGTTGTAAAAACTACGTATACATATCATTCGTACACATGAGTATATAAGTCCCTAGACATGAGTCTTAAATTGCTTCTTCACCAAGCAGGCAAACAAGTCTGCACCCAACTCCTTTCTCACACACTCACCGAAAACCTTGAGCCCGAACCACCGCTATCACCAACAACAGCCATGTGTTGGATTCCTAGCATCAAGTTTGAATGCTGTGGCTACGTGAGGCCTCTTCCCGAATCAGAGATCTCCGATGAAGACAAGGAGTGGCTGTACGAAGAGGACGGGCAGCTCTATAGACGATGCCCCGAAGCTGTGAGAACCGGTGAAATTTGCGAGGTTCTTGAGCCGTATCCTGCGCTGACTGTTAACAAAGAAGAGGACTGCGGCAAGTGCAAGCAGCGAAAGGAAGGGAAACACTAAACATACAGAAGGTCCGAGTTTCGGTGGGTGAGTGAGTACGTAGTAGCGTAGATAGAGACGTAGACAAATTAGGAGGCGTTGGGGGCGTTGAATAGACTTGCTTGTTTGTTTCCATTTACATCATGAAGCTAATACGTGATATAAATACATTAACTATGAATTAGCCAGCCCATTTTATCTATCTAAACCCTGATTATCCCATATAACTTTTAAGTATTATGTATCAATATGCCTCCCACCAGAAACGCCATGCCACAAACCCATCTAAAGATCCTTGAGCTCAAACTTCTTCCTCAGATGCTCACCATACTTGATAAACAACCAAGGGGCAGGGATAAGCGCAGCAGCGATGAAGCCCAAAAGACTGTTTCCCCAACCCATACCCAGCTTGTCAAACATGGGTAGACCAGCGAGGGGTAGGACACCACCGGCGATGGAACGCATTACGGCGTTGGCGGCCAAGGCTGAGGCTGCGTAGACGGTGAAGCTATCGACGAGATACATTTGGAGGGTCTGTACGTGTAATGAGTAAGTGTCAGGGGCACTTTGAGAGATGGGCTTACCATGAAGATTATGAGGTTTCCAACACCCATTACAGCAGTACCAATAATAGGCGCAATCCAATGAACCTTGTACTCAGCAGTCCATCCATAAATAAACAAACCAGCCGGCAAAAAGATGGCTCCAGCCCTCAGAGGAGGGAGTCGATACTCTGGCTTCATAACCACAGGTTGAGGCTCCGTAGGTCCCGTCTCCTCGTCACTGCTGGTCTGCGCCTTGGCTGCCATCTTCTTCATGTTCCTATCACTCGAGATGGAAAAGTAAATAACGCCAATCATGGAACCGATGCCGAGACCGAGGAATGTTAGGCCAGAGTTGATGGTGTTGAAGTGGTAAATTCGCATAAACAGGGGTGTGAGGCTTGTAAACATGAGGTACAAGTACGCGTATGAAAGGCCGACGTAGAGACCGCAGATGATGCAGATGGGTGAGAAGAGAAGCATCTTGAATGGTCGGAGGATGCCACGCTTGAAGTAATCGGCGGGACTCAATCCAGCATCGAGTTTCGACCGGAGTCTATCGTTGCCTGTTTCTTTTCGAAGACGTCTTGCCTTGTGTTCGAGAATAACAGGTGCATATGTCTCGACCGCAAAGATGAAGAAGACGATGGTGATGGTTCCTGAGATGATGGTGATGATCCAAAAGACCCAGCGCCAACCGAGAGAATCAGTTACGACACCGCCAATGATGGGACCGATGATGGGTCCGAGAAGAGGTCCGATTGAGAAACTGGCCATGGCTGTACCACGCTTCTCCTGGACAATCATGTCGGCGATGGAACCTCCTCCATTAGCCATAGGACACGATCCAAATACACCGCTCAAGAATCGAAACGCGATGAGAGCGCCTAAACTCGGGGCTTTTGCGCAAGCAATAACAAAGACTATACAGAGTCAGAAACCAGTTGTTTATAAATATGGGTAAACTTACCAAGAAAGCCAATGTTGCCAATGTGATAGACAATAACACGTCCATATAGCTCAGACATGGGAGCAAAGACCATAGGACCAGCAGCGAAACCTAGGACATAGACCGAAACGCAGAAGGAGGCGAGTTCGGACGATTTGCTGCCAAACTCGAGCATGAGTTCAGGAACACCAGGTGCAAACATGGCTACACGCACATTAGCTATCTTGAACTCAAGGTCCAAGTTTGGGACGGGTTCACTTACACGAAGCCAACGGCGTGACAAACGTCAGAGAACTGACGAGAGCACAGTTGAGAACCTTTCTCCACCTGGGAAAGTTGTACGGATTCTGAGGATCCTTGTCGCTCTCCCACCAAACGATATCACTCTCACTCTCTTCACTATCACCACTATCCTCTCCACTTTCTCCCTCATCATTTCCCTCCTCTTTATTCCTCCGCTCCTGCAAATCATCTAGAGCCTTTCTATTTTCTGCCGCAGCAGCACTGCTAGCTCTTCTTGCGCGTCTACTGCTTGCGATGCTGGCTCTTCGCTTGCGCTCGTCGGCTTGGGTGGGTACGAAACCCATGCTGCTGGGGATATCGGCATCATGGCCTTCGTCTACTGCCTCGCGGGTCTTTTCTTCTAGTGTTGGTTCGCGTCTTAGTTCGTAGGATGTCGTCTTGTGTGCGGACTCTAAAGGAGCCATGCTGGCTTCGGCAGCCATGTTGTAAATCTTGACTCGATAGTTAGATCCAGCTACTATATTCTGAGCAGATAACCATGTTCTCCCGGGGTGTCGATTTCCAGTGAGACTGAAGTCATCCGCATTTCCGTTTTGGGCAATTCCTCGGCTCGACATGGTGGAGGTAATGATATACGTACCTACGCCTTTCGCGCCTGAATCCCTCAATTAGATCTAAAATGCGAATTCTCTGAATAATATTCGCTACTCTCAATCGTCGCGTAATGAATGCGTCCCGATCGTATCAACTCGTGTCCGCTGAGTGGTGTGACAGGTGTATAAAAGAGGAGAAGCAGCCCCCAACAGATACTCGATCAGATGAGATTCTGCACGACTCGCAGAGCGAAACGAAAGATCTTGTCCCTCGGCTTCTTGGACGGAAGTAATGTTCAAATCGGGTGTGGTGGACCGGTTAAAAGTAGATCGCTTGACTTATACCCCAGACTTGTCAATACCAAGAGGAGGGGATCAAGTACCATTATATAAGGGAGCGGTCAAGAAAAGGAAGGTCAACAGAGAGAGGCGAAAATGTGAATAATGATAACTGGCATCGTCCATTCATCTTATTCCTCATCTGATGTGACTGGGACCTTGACCCCCCAAAAACAACGAGAGGGGGACCCGGGTATTTCGAGGCCCGTGGACCAGGATGGCTTCCTTCCGATGTCCTCGGGACCAGAAGAATCAACGAAAAAGGACCCCAGTTTCGGGCTCTCGCTCTCGGGGCCATCGCAAACTCCGCCGACTTGCGCAGAAGAGCATCTCGTTATCGTTAAGGCTCTCTCAAGATGACTGGGCCCCTGGACGGGAGAAGCACCCGGGATCGTCTCCCGTTCAAGTTCACGCCACCTCGTGCGAACCCTTGACGACTTCTCGGCCGATCAACGTCTCATCACGGTATAATATTCCGTGGGACCCCCCGGAAGTCGGCTCTGTCCTTCCCCACAGAAGTGAAAAGGGTGGTGCTTGGCTTGGTAAGCTGAAGCGAAGCGTGAGAGAGAAGAGGTCCGAGATGAATGAGTCCAGCTGTAATCATGTTAAGCTTACCCTTCTTAGTGGAGCGCCCTGTCTTTGACTCCCCTTTGTTGTCATCTCGGTTGCGTGACAAAGTCTCCTTACCCAACCCAACATCAAACAGAATATTTATATCCGTCTCCCGGAGTTAGGCATCTTGTCGGACTTGATCCATGTCGTAAACAATCTTTTATGGAAATACGTACTTCGTACAGTCCATGTTTTGGGCAACTGTGGCTCCGCATCTGTCGCCTTGTTAGTGGAGAATTCACCACCCGTAGTCAAGACCCATGGCGAGACCAAGGATCTGATAAACAAGGAGGACGTGATCTCAAGCCAAGATCAATGCCTCCCTGAGACCCTTCGGAAAAAGTTGGCGTCCGGCAAATGCAGTCGCCGATCGTCGCATTTTCCCAATCGTGAACCATCCTCTCGGGACCATTAGAACAATCAAGCCACAGATTGACATTCAACGTGAAAGATCAGACACCCTTGTCTAGATCCTAGCCATGATGCTGTTCTTAGCGCTGCATGTCGCATGTCTGGCCCATTTGGCGTCGTCTCAGCAGATCCCACTCAATGAGCAGCTATCGTCGCACTCTGAGTCAACAGACCACGACAGCAATGACGTTCCAATTGCTGATGCTGCCTTTGAGCAGTATATCCGGGACAAGATGGCTCGATGGCATGCCCCCGGTCTTGCCATGGCCATACTCGACGGGAACAAGACGTGGACGAGGGTGAGTAACGATTTGGGTGTATCATTCATAAGCAACTGACGCCGTCAACAGGGGTTCGGATATGCTTCCCTAGAGGGTGAACCTGTCACACCCTCAACTCTTTTCTACTGTGGTAGCATGACAAAGTCCTTCACTGCTGCCGCCCTGTCACTCCTTGTAGACCAATCCCAAGACTATGCCGACATCCAATGGTCCACGCCCGTATCTAACCTCCTCCGTGAAGACTTTGTTCTCTCGGATGACTGGGCCACCAGCCACATCACTGTCGCCGATGTACTCTGCCATAGAACTGGATACCCGAGGCACGACTATGCTGGTCCATTCCTCAACTCGTCCGTAAACATGGTGCACTCGTTCCGCCATCTGCCAATGGCTGGAGAGCCGCGCGCCCAGTGGAGGTACAGCAACTTGATGTACGGAACCATGGGTTACTTGATTGAGACGCTCACGGGCACTTCTCTTGCTGACTTCTTCCGAGATCGGCTGTGGCTTCCCATGGGGATGCGCAACACCTACTTACATCCTGACGATGCACTGGCCAGCGAGAGTACTCTGGCAGTTCCATATTACTGGAACAACGACACAGAGACATATGGCGAGATCCCATGGAGGGATGAGCAGAACATCGCTGGTGCGGGAATGGCCATCTCATCCGTTCTCGATTGGTCTCGATATCTGCGACACATGATCGACGAGACAGGCCCAATCTCCAAAGCCGGTCATCACACCCTCAAACTTCCACACAAGGTTGTCGAAGAACGCGAGCGGCTCTTCACGGGCCCCGTCTACTACGGCTTCGGTTGGTTTGGAAGTGTCTTCCAGGATGAGCCAGTTTGGTGGCATTCCGGTCTTGTCAACAGCATGATGTCCATAATGCTCATGATTCCGAGCAAGAAGTTTGGCTTCGTCATCATGCTCAACAGTGAAAACGCCCCTGCACTCGACTCCATCATCGCCAAGACTCTATACGACTTTTTCCATGTAGAGGAGGGAAAGCGGCAAAACCTGGAGGCAAAGTAAGCACCTTGTTTTCACTTATCGAGCCACAAGCTCCTTTATCGTACCAGAAGCTGACAGCATCTCAGCTGGAACCAGACATATGCAGAGTGGGAAGAGCGTCTTGGAAACTGCTCGAATAGGTTGTACCCTTCTCTGCCATCGCCTCCTATTCGGGCCCCGCTGCCACCAGGGAGGTTTGCTGGTGAATATTATCACCCAGGCTATGGTCCAATCTCCGTCTCCATAAGTTGCGACAAATGGGATGCTCCCTCTGATTCTCCTGCACCTCCTTCCACCACCAAGGACGGATGCAGGTTGATGGCGTCCAAGATGGACAACTTTGGTAAACAAGTGTCGTATCAACTAGAGCACAAGTCGGGAGACTATTGGGTGGGTTGGCTCTTTAACGACGACTTTGCGAGTGTAAGACGGCCAAAAGAATGCTACCGGGCTCAGTTCCGGGTAGACGAGACAGGACGTTCATATAGTTTTGGCCTCGACATTCGGCAGGAAGGCGAAGATGTACCCTTGATCTGGTTTGAGAGGCAGAGGTAGAGATTGCTTGACGATTTACCTCATCGGATAAACCCTAGCTTGGTGAGGTGATCTCTTAATTCGTAGAGTTCGGCTAGTGTAGTCGAAGAATGCTCCTTTAGACATTCGCATTGTAGACCAAGTACCTTGGCCTCTCTTGACTCGTTGCCAGCAACAGATGTGACTAGGTCACTCAGCTGTTGAGCTCTTGCTGCGAGCGTTGACTGAAGCTCTATTATCATGGCCGTCATCATTGAAGCGGCAGAAGCTTTTGGTGCCACAAAGGATCCGATTCGAATCTCGGGGATGTCGAAGCTAGGCTCATGGTCGTCGGGTAACATTGCGGTCACTTTCGCACATAAATGAGCATGATCGACGATGCTGTCAAAAATTGCCAGGAGCTTCAGGTGACAAGCGATGAGAAGATTAATGGTAGACTGATCAAATGGTAGTTGAGGCCTAGCTCGTAGAAATCCATGTACCCTGTGCATGCAATCTGGGATATTGCATGTGTCTTGCCCTGGTTGGAGTATCTCCAGCACCTCAGGATATAATGCCGAAAGCTTCTGAGCCGTCTGTAGTAGATTATCAAGAGTGGTCTGAAGATTGAACTTTGCAGTCAAGCTTTGGGGAATTTCTTTAAGCTGGCGTGTCGAAACGTGATGCTGCACCGGGCTGGGAAAGTCTTGTTGCAGACGGTCCAGTGAGACCATGAGGTCGGCCAACTGTGACACTGGACTCGGGGGCGTTGGGTCTGCTTCATCGCTCACAGGAGGAGTAACCGTTTGGGGATTTAGGCCAACGTTGCCCAGAGGATCAAACGTTTGACTGTCGAACTCAAGCATAGGAGACCAGTCAAAGGCGGTATTGTTGGGTTGGCGGAGTGATCGAGCAGGAGGACTAAAGATACAAGAGACGCCCGCTTTGACGCAGCGGCCACAAACTATAGAGCCCGGAATCTTTGTACATCGTAGTTTTTTGTCGTGACAGCGATCACACGCTGAACGAAGGTCGGCGGCCATGGTTGAGTTCATGATGTTGTAGGAGAAGGAGATGCCTGGGATGTATGGCGGGGAAAGAGGCGTAGTTGAAGACCAAGTTACCCTGTACCATGACCCGGAAGCGGGTGGGCAGAGAAACACAATTGGACAAGACAGGCATTGGAAATAAAGCCTGTAGTTTTGTCTGTTATTTTTATATACATCGATATTTTCATCCAATCTATTTACTTCGGTCTGCATTGGTCAATCAGATGGCCTCACGCTGACTGCTCATCCTGGCCTGGACAACGCACAACTTGCACGGGCACTCAAATATTCAACATTCAAAGCAGAAATAAAAATGAAAACTCTTCAAGGGAACACGCATTCATAATTACTTGACTCACCTCTCACCCGACCTGTCGGATATTGCTACGTGGTGGTGTATCCCCAACGCACGTTACCCAGGTCCCTTGTGCTCCTCCCTAGGTACAGTAAGGTAGTCAGCAGCCACTAAACACCACCACCTCTTCCGAGCTTCACCACCTGAGAAACCCTCCTCTTGCACCTCCTCCAAAGCTCTCCCACCATAAAACTCCCGCCTCCATCATCGCCCGTCATCTTGCCCCTGGCGCATCATGACTGCGATGCTTTCTTCTCAATTTGATGCTTCTGCCTCCAGAACATGTCGCTGATTCCTTACCAGCCCCATGAGGGCCGGGAGATCGTTCTGTACGTCATAGTAACCTTACCTCGCATTGCTCTTTGACTCCAACGCCTACTGACCTCTGCAGCCGCCACCACAACGCCATTGTCGTCCGCGACTCTCAGTCTCATCGTCTCGAAATCCGCGCCGTTACAGAATGCCCTACATGTCACCAGCCGCTCACCCGTCCTGAATCGTCTGATGATCGCACCTTTGATCGTTCCTTTGGTCCTCGTCGAGAGAGTTATGTCGACCCCGATTACTTTCGCATGCTTCGCGCTGTCAACGCGAACCCCGATTCGACTACAGATCATACGCCTCCAAGCCCTGTGAGGAGACTTTTCGGACCTGCCCTCGGCGCTGCTGGTAGCTCTCCAAGCCCAACCTCGCCGTCTCCAGATATCCACGACGGCAACGCCGAGTTCCTTTCGAGTACGCCTGGTGTTGCGCATACCGAGGGCAGCAGAATTCGAAGAAACGCCTTCAGTCCCAATTACTTTAATTCCTTCTTTGTCGAGGAACGTGAGCTGGGTCGAGGAGGCAAGGGAGTCGTCCTACTTGTGCGCCACCAGATTGACGGCTGCCCGCTGGGTCAGTTTGCTTGCAAACGAGTTCCTGTCGGAGACGACCATGCCTGGCTTGAAAAGGTTCTTATCGAAGTCGAGTTGCTTGCCAAGCTATCCCACCCAAACCTTGTGTCGTACCGACATGTCTGGTTGGAAGACTTCCAGCTCACTCGTTTCGGGCCCAGTGTCGCCTGTGCCTTTATTCTTCAGCAGTACTGCAATGGAGGCGATCTTCACCAGTACATTGTCGGCGGAGCGCCTCGCGAGGCCACCAAAGAAGAGCTCAAGGCCCAGATGCGCCGAAGATCCAAGGGCCAGCTCGACCCTCCTGTGGACCTCTTTAATGGCAACCGCCAATTATCCTTTGATGAGATTTACTCACTCTTCAGAGATATTACCTCTGGCGTGGCATATCTCCACGCTGCCAACTACATCCACCGCGACCTCAAACCGAGCAATTGTCTGCTGCACCACGAGGGCGGCAGACTCACATGTCTGATCAGTGACTTTGGTGAAGTCCAGTCTGAGAACGTTGTGCGCAACTCCTCAGGGACTACTGGAACGATATCCTACTGCGCCCCGGAAGTCCTAAAACTGGACCCGGCCACAGGACGCTACGCAAACTTCACCACAAAGTCCGATATCTTTGCGCTCGGCATGATTTTGTATTTCATGTGTTTCGGAAGGCTTCCCTATAAGAGCGCGAATGCCATCCAGGAAGAGCTTGAGGATGTCGATGAACTCAGAGCAGAGATTACTCAGTGGAAGGGCTTCCAGGATGAGCGACGTGAGCGACCAGACCTTCCTTCTAAGCTCTATCAGCTCCTCAAGAGGCTGTTGTCACTCAACCCCGCCGAAAGACCCAGCGCCAACGAGGTGCTCAAGGCCATGAGCATGCGAGATACGATGAGCTTTGACAATGGGGTAAGGGAAGAAGCCGCCCCTGGACTTGGCCTGAATGGAAGCCGAGTTCAAAATCTTGACTCGCCCGCTCCCCCGGGTACACCAGTCACCGGTAAGCTCCGTAGTCTTACTTCCTAACAAGCTTTGCCCTTAACTGTCATGTAGGTTCCCGGCACCGTCACCACTCGAGCACAGCGGACAAGTTTGAGGAGCTTGGAGCTTTGGCTCGACCTACCTCGCGAGATTTGTCGCCATCGAAGAGTACACAGAGCTCTCGTCTGGATCCAAACCGCCAATCCGTCTCTCGTCATCGTACCGCACACTCTATGGTTCTTTCTCGCAGCCAAGAAGGCCGTCGTCGTAGTTCTATCGTGGCCACTGTGAGAGACGCCCCTGAAGTACCGGAGTTGAACGAGAGGAGGAGCTCGCAAAGCCCTCCACTGCTATTGGCGCCTCCGACTACTACCTCCAACGCCTTGAGAGACAGGCTGCGCATGTTTCTCCTTGAAATTGTTACCATGGCAGGGCCGAGCTTGTCTCTCCTGAGCTACATCATCCGTCTGGGCCTCTTTGCTGTCAAAATCACTTCCTTGACACGCCCCTGCTGGCCCTTTATGGTGCAGCTCAACATTGCTATCCCCCTAGTGGCCGTCGCGGCCCTGGACCTTGGTCTACCTCGACTAACGAGCTACCCACCAGCATCAAGAGATTACTTTACAAGCGGACCGCGCGCCTGGGGCTTAGGAACGAGTTTGATCTTGTTGGGTCTTCACTTTACCCTGCTCTGGATTGCGTCTGGTTGGGACAATTTCTGTGCTGCCCCTCAGCAGGAGGAATGGACACCACAAGAGTGGTGATGGCGCCTGATGAAGAATGACTATTAAAAAAGAACATTGTATTATGATGGATTCTCTTTAGCGATTGGGTTCTTTGGATGCTACAACTAGGTACACGAGAGAGTTGGCGCGTGGGGATTGAACTGGGGGCTAGATTTACAAGGTTGTACCTACATGGTGATGGAAAGGGGGATCAATATCGGGGGTGCATAGGTTGGGATTTAAAAATAGTTGCAACGTTTTCCAAGGTGAATGAAATTCATTTCTAATACCTGTATTTTGTATCATGATGTGTCTGCCATGGTCATCTTTGACAGAACATGTTCAATGTCTTGAAGCCATTCCCATCTTAACCGGAGAGGCGTCATCACTTTTACTGACGAGTACCAAGCACATCGATACAAGCATGACATGCCTCAGAATGACACATCACCAAGCACATGCCGTATATTAACCTAGAGGTCTTTTAATCTTTGCTCTCAGGTTATTGTATTTTCTTTATAGTTGAAGCCTGGCCCTTGATGTGATAACTTGCTCTTTAGGGACCACCATCACGTTAAAGAGGCAGTACTACCGTGTTCTCACATAGAGCATTGCTTGCACGGGTTCTGGTTGGAACAATAGTTTAAAAGAAATTACAGCGTTTCGGACTATTACCCTAGAAACCGAATTTAACAGGCCAACACGTTGTACCGTAAATGAAAGCAGACCACCCCAATCGCAACGCTTCAAACACATACTGACCTCACAGCCAACATTACGTCACCCGAATTATACCTTTCTCAACGACTTTTGAGTCAAAAACTTGCGTCTGTCCATCTCCTTCATCGCCAAAGTAGTATCTTTACCATCAGGAGCGACGCGCTCTCCACGAGTGAGGCTTCCAAACCCAAAGTCTGGCTCTCCGCCTAGACTGCCAAATATATCTCCCACGTAATTGTCCGCCTTGACGCCCGATTTGAACTTGCAGTCCCAGTTTTCGACGATGCCCTCGACAATCTTGACACCAGCATTGTATATGTTGTCGATGGCGATGGAGAAGCCGTTCTGCTGAGAATCTGTGAGATGCTCAAGGTCGGATCGGTTAAGAGGGGCACGGTCAAAGTTGGAGCCTGGTGTTGTCAGCAAGACGTTTTCGTGTAGAACAAGGTCAACAGTCATACCGCTTCGGAGGACAATGACTCTCTCAAAGTCAACGAGCTTCTCAATTGCAACTCTGACCAAGACCTCGAGCAATGCGTTATCTTCCTGTGCACTCATGCAGTAGACCCCAGTCCCGTTGGTCCAGACTGATGTCGTGTTCTCAAATGCCTCTGAGAGTCTGCTCCCGGAGTAGTATACATCGCTGGTAGCTGTGTCACACTTTACAACACTTGGTGGTCGTGAGGCAGCCATGTATGACTCGCCCATGCGGACATACAGGGAGCGGTACTGTCGCGGCCCATCAGCGTCTGACAGCTCTGCTTTGGAAGCAAGATCATAAGCCTCATCTTGAAGTCGGGCATTGAGTTCAAATACTTCAGTTCCATATGTGATGAAAGGATACTCGTGAGGCTGATTGCGGCCATACGAGATGTAGCCCGTGGGAAAACTGGAGGGGAGCGACCTAGGGTCAATCTCATACTGGAGGGCGACCTGGACAGAGTAATGGGCCAACGCCACGGTGCCCAGAGTGCCGTGTTTGGGATTGACACCGGCTATCCCGGCGAGGAGAAAGTAGGTCTTGCTGAAGTCGAATCTGGGTGACAAAACAAGGGCCATGAGAGATGCCGCAGAGTTTATCTCCCCTTCGCCAACTGTCTGCAGGCAGATGGCACCGCCTTCTATACAGCAAGTCGATGGGAAGAGCATAGACAGTCCAGGGGAGTGATAGCATGACGAAGTCAAGTTACCAAGTCCTGAATATGGTAGACGGTCGTACCAAACATCAGCCTCTGGGGACCACTGTCAAGGCGGATGAGCAAACGAAGTGCTATAACGCCGAGGTAGGAACGACGAACCATTGATATGATCATGACTTTGGGGGCAATCAGCTCCTCTGATCTGGCTGTAAAGGAGGGTGGTCGGGCCTGTGTCCCAGGAACGAGAAACATTTGGTAGGCAATCGCTAGGAGGAATCCTAAGAGCTGCATGATGCCGACATGCTAGTTTCTTGCAGGCCCTGACAGGATCTATTCGAACTCGAGCGCGGCTGATGCAACCTTTAATCTTTGTCGACAGACGGATCGAAGAGGAGAGTCCATGCCAAAACACCAAGACTCTGAGACTCTTGGCGTAGACGGGTCACACATGAGACCTCCTGCCTGGGAAGGGCCATGTGGGAAACAATGTCTTGTCAGACTGGAATATGAGGGAAGATCCGGTGGATAGGACTCCGGGGATGTGAGTAAAATGAGACAAGTGATACTGGATGTTAACCTCAGGGCCATCAACGAACCATTACCGAGACTGTGGATAAGGATCGGGATAAAGTGGAGTGAACGAAGGACAATGATGGGACTTGACGGAAAGCCATTGCCTAGATTGTCAATATCCGAATGGTTTGGGGATTGAGGTCAAACCAGAAGTGACACCAAAGCCTTGTGGGGTTGCCAGTCTTATCACCAAAAATCTCATCTACAAACAAGCTGATACAAGACACCACGCACATACTAGACGGAAGCGAAAGACATGGCCATGTCTTGACATGCGATCGATATTCGGGAACTAGGTGAGGAATGTGGCCGCTGAGGACCCTGAGTTTCGCGAAGGAGGGACCAGACTTGGATATGAGTCGAACTTGTCTTGGATGTCTCGTTGAGCCATAACCAGCTTCAGGTTCCTCGTACACTCGGACAAACACTTGTTTGTGAGCCTCGCAGCCCCAAAGCTGAACAAGTTACCCGTCAAGGCCTCTGCAAGAAAATACGTCAAGAGTCGGCTTCCCGATCGTCTTCCGTGTAACTCGAAGCCCCTGGAAATGGCACTCGCCGAATCGACAAAGCGATCTGGAGGTAGCATGTCTCGGCCGGCAGGGTACCGAAGCGATCGAATCACGAGGGGGGAGAGTCAATTGGCTACTGCAGACGAGACGAGTCTTGGAGGACCCTGGTCAATGAACAATTCATAACGCAGAAGACATCAAGAACAATGCTATGTCTTGAGCCGTGTCATGTGATGTGTTCTGTGTGCCGAATACGAAGGTGGTGCAAAGTGAGGAAAAAGAGAACAAGGTAGCAATCATGACATTTGTTGTACGTTGGTTGTGCCCGTGTACGCTCTGCATTTGGTGGTTTGTGTGTGGACGCGGGCGGATGTGTCCATGTCCATGTGTGAGTGTGAGTGTGAGTGAGTGTGAGGCCTCCCCACGAGAATCATGAGGTTGTTTCGGGATGGAGCGGAGCGGAGGGAGTGGACTTTTGTGCTGGGGGCACGTGGTTTGTGTCTGTGTCTCTTGCTCTTTTTGACGAGGGTTTTTTATGCTGTGGGATGCACTTTCCTTGCTGTTGGATTTGAGTGCCGGCAGGCGTCCTGTAGGTTTGTCCCTTCCTCCAACGGCGGGCTTGCACATGGATACCTCTCCCCTGTACCCGTCTAAATCCTGAGGTTCAGGGTGTTAATGTCAACCTCATTTCAACTACTACCGTTGATAGACATGTTGATAATAGACGAGGACCCATAGACTTGTGCTATTACCCATCTTGGATATTCACAATATGGCCAGCGCAGCAGGACTGGAGCAAGAATCAAGAATCGGTAGTTGAACTTTCTGAGGAAGGCACGACCGTTGCCACCAGACTGGACTCTTGGCATCCCTCAACGCCAAGACTTTGCCCAGCTTTGCCAAATCTTGCTCTGAGGAAGGAGGCACTCTCACTGCACAAGACACACCTCAAATCACCAGACATCAAGCCTTCTCGGCACCTTCGGCCGGCTCCTCACATCATCTTTCGCTCCGTTGAGATGATATCCGGATACACGACTCTCGGCCGCCAAGCCTGATGACGACGACGCTGACATGCCGCATGCGCTAGGTCGGCCTCTTTCTCTTGATCGGCACAATATGCAGCAGCCAAGAAATCCAGACATCACGACGGGCAGGCCAAGAGGATCAAAAAGACCAGAATCCAGGGCCTGCTCGGCTTCTGCTTCGGCGTCCCCGAGATGATGGACAGCGACCCATGGAAATGGTGCACTGATCAAACTCCTAACCCACCAAGCAGCACTGATCCACAGACTGTCGTCCTGTGTGTTGCAGGGCAGACGAATAGCGTCGACGTGCGAGGTTTCTCCGACTTTTCTTACTGGGGGAACCGTACATAGCGGATAACCTGGCATTAGCTGGCCATCCTCATTGTCTGTCAACAAGGGCATCACCATCAGCAGCCAGTCAGAGATGCTTTCCAGGTCATTCCGCAGTGGGGCCGGCCTGCAAATGACGAAGTTCTCTTAAGGTTCTTTATTCTCCTGCTGCTCTTTATTGACGCTTTAACTGATTTGGGGTAGACAGAGTCACAGAGCCCGCTGCTCCCTTCCGGTCCGACACCAACCCCCCCACGCGGCCGGTTCCAGCGCTTCCTCCACAGTCAACGGTCGCGATCCGACTCCGTTCTCTCCTCTCTTTTTTGGTCTCTCTCCCTCTCTTTTCCCCGTGGCACAGCGCCCAACCCGGCTTCTGGTGCTTCCTTTTCTGACTTGGTTCTGTGTTCTTCATCTATGGACGAAATCACACCTGCTCCTGATCAACGCCATGGCGGCTCCGGCGAATCATCAATTGAGGGTGGTCGACACCATCTCCAACTTCAACCCGAGACCGACGACCAGATGACATCTCAGCTCACCAACGACGACAACTCCTCCCTCGACCTCAGCGACGATGAACCTATTCAGGGGAACAATTTCGCCTTTACTCCTACGCAGCTTCACAAACTTGTGACTGCAAGGAGTCTTCCCGCGCTTCGCGCCTTTGGTGGATTGTTGGGCTTGGCTGCAGGTCTGCGCACCGACATATCATCCGGTCTCAGTGCCGACGAGACGACCCTCGATGGCACTGTTACGTTTGACGAGGCTGTGGCCTCTGGCCGCCTAGAACGACCTCCTATTCTCTCAGCAGCCTCGCCCCCTCCACCGTCGCCGCTACTCCCCAATGGCCTCTTCGAACATCGCGATAATCACTATGCCGACCGAAAACGAGTGTTTGGCGTTAATCGTCTTCCCCAAATAGCTCAGAAATCTTTCTTGAGGCTACTTTGGATAGCGTTCAACGACAAACTGATCATCCTGCTCACCATCTCGGCTTCTATATCGCTCGCCATCGGCATCTACCAGTCGGTCGACAAGTCAATCGATTCTTCGCGCGTTGAATGGGTGGATGGTGTTACTATTGTTGTTGCTATCCTCGTCATCATAATCGCAAGCGCTGCCACCGACTGGCAAAAAAACCACAAGTTCAAGAAGGTCAATGAGCGCAAGCAGCAAAGAGATGTAACGGTTATGCGTTCGGGAAGGTTGAAGCGCATTTCCGTGTATGATGTCGTTGTTGGTGATATCATGCATCTCGAAGCTGGTGATGTGGTGGCTGTGGATGGTGTTCTTGTTCAAGCCTCGAGTCTTCAGATGAATGAATCCGCCATATCTGGAGAGTCAGAACTTGTTCACAAATCTGTCCCGAACCACTATGATCCATTCCACACAGTTCAAGCCGACCCTTTCATCCTAAGTGGAACTACGGTTGCCCGTGGTGTGGGCCATTATCTTGTCACAGCCGTCGGTGTCAACTCTACCTACGGCCGCGTTCTCATGTCCCTGAGAGATGATGTTCAGGAGACGCCACTGCAGGCCAAGCTCGGCCGTCTTGGTAAACAGCTCATTGTCATCGGTGCTATTGCTGGATCTCTTTTCTTCCTGATCCTGTTTATTCGCTTCATGATCAGGCTGAAGGACCTGACAGGAGGTCCCTCAGACAAGGCTGAGGATTTCTTGCATGTGTTGATCCTGTCCATCACGGTCGTTGTCATTACTGTTCCTGAGGGTCTGGCCCTGAATGTCACGATCGCGCTAGCCTTTGCAGCAAAGCGTATGCTTAGAGACAACAACCTGGTGCGACTCATCCGATCGTGTGAGATCATGGGCAATGCAACCTGTGTTTGCTCCGACAAGACAGGTACTCTCACCCAGAACAAGATGACTGTCGTTGTTGGACGCGTCGGCCTCGAGTCCTACTTTGACGATACCGACCTTGGCACTCCTGACCCCGATACGTCCATGTCCCGCGCCTCGACCATTAAGTGTGACAGCTCGGTGGATCTCGCAAAGTCATTGTCACCAGAATCGAAGAGGTTGATCAAAGACAGTATCGCGCTGAACTCGACAGCATTTGAGAATGACGACTCTGGCTCTATGGCCTTTGTAGGCTCAAGCACAGAGACAGCTCTACTGCAATTTAGCCGTGAACACTTGGGTATGGGTTGCTTGGCTGAGGAGAGAGCCAACAACCCAATCATCGCCATTCTTCCCTTTGACTCGTCTCGGAAATGGATGGCAGTTATCATCAAGCTCCCTAACGGTCGATATCGACTATTGGTCAAGGGTGCTGCAGAGGTTGTGTTGGAGTATAGTGCCTTCATTGTGTCGGATCCCACCTTCAGAACACCCATTGTCCGTATGTCAGAGACAGATCGTGAAAGCCTCCGCAACACCATACAGGATTACGCCTGTAGAATGCTGCGACCGGTGGCCTTGGCCTATCGGGATTTCAGTGAAGAGGACATCTTTGAGGGTCCCGAGGACGATCCGGATGCTATCAACCTCGAATGGCTAGCATCTGGACTGATCTGTATTGGTGTGTTTGGAATTCGCGATCCCCTACGCCCTGAGGTTGTTGAGTCTGTTCGACAGTGTCAAGCTGCTGGAGTCTTTGTTCGCATGGTCACGGGAGATAACTTCTTGACGGCCAAGGCGATAGCGGCCGAGTGCGGCATCTACACAGCTGGTGGTATTGCTATGGACGGACCTACGTTTCGAGATCTGTCTACAGAGCAGCTGGACGCCGTCATCCCACGGCTACAAGTTCTTGCTCGATCGAGCCCTGAGGATAAGCTGCTTCTCGTGACTCACCTGAAGCGCATGAACGAGACGGTCGCTGTGACAGGTGACGGTACTAACGATGCCCTGGCTCTCAAGGCTGCGGATGTTGGATTTGCAATGGGCATCCAGGGCACAGAGGTGGCCAAGGAAGCGGCCTCGATTATCCTGCTCGATGATAACTTTGCGTCAATTGTCAAGGCTCTGGCCTGGGGAAGAACAGTCAATGATGCGGTCAAGAAGTTCTGCCAGGTAAGATTCCCGTCCGCTCTATGAGTGCCAAGCTAATGATGGCCAGTTCCAATTCACTATCAACATTACTGCAGGCATCATTACGGTTGTTTCTGAGCTTGTTGGCGATGCCATCTTTACTGTGGTTCAGCTGCTCTGGATCAACCTGATCATGGATATCTTCGCCTCGCTTGGTTATGCTACCGACCACCCTTCACCGGATTTCTTGAAGCGGAAGCCCGAGCCCCGCAATGCCCCTATTGTCAGCATCACCATGTGGAAGATGATCCTTGGCCAGGCCATCTACCAACTGGCAGTCGTCTTCACTGTGCATTATGCTGGGTGGGACCTGTTCAACCCCGACACTGAGTTTGAGATTGAGAAGCTTCAGACTCTGGTGCTCAACATCTACGTGTGGATGCAATTCTTCAACCAACACAACTGCCGCCGGGTAGACAACAAACTCGACATCTACTACCAGGGCATCCTGCGCAATCCATGGTTCATTGGAGTGCAACTCATCACGGTGGCGGGCCAGTTCGTCATCATCTTTAAGGGTGGTGAAGCGTTCGACACCAGTCCACTTACAGGTGCCCAATGGGGATGGAGCTTGCTGTTTGGCATCATGTCGATTCCATTGGGTGCGTTGATTCGCCAAATCCCGGATAGCCTCGTTCAAGATCTATTCACGGTGATCTCGCACGCGTGGTATGCTATCTGGCTACCATTGCGTGCGTTCCTCTCGAAGATGTTTTGCTGCGGCAGGCGCAAGAAGACAGATGAAGAGCAACAGCAGCAGCAACAAGGACCTGAAGAGATGGGACACGTGGAAAACATTCTCCACAGGATGCACTTGACACAAGGACCCGAAGAGGATGAGACCCCTATGACAGCGGAGCAGAGGGAGGCGCTAGAGAGCTCAGACAGGAGGAGAAAAGCCCAAGAGACGGAAAAGCAGCCCAGAGAGATAGACCTACTTGGTCTCGTGGAGGCAGCCAAGCTGGGACGAGAATATGCTGGTGCCACGCTGGAGCTTCACCCAAAGACACTCAAAGACGACCCCATTCTGAGAACGAGCGATGGTACTACGATACCGCCAAGCCAAGATGCCCGGTTTATGAGATTTGTGGCATTGAACAAGCCACGACGGCCTCAACCTTTGAGAAGACAATCGCTTCGAGGGCAGCGACGACAAGGGCAGCAACAACCTCGCCAACAACAACAGCAGCAACAACAGCAGTCGTGGAGGAGGCATTTTACATGGGAGGCGCTGTTGAGATCTAAGAGAAGATGAGGACCTGATCTCTTGGTCTGACTATAGAAAGAGAAGGATACATACCGGAAATGTGCATATAATTGTACTGATATGACGGGTTACGACGTTATGACGGACAAAACAGAGGGAACCAAGATACCAATATACAGGTTGCGATTGTTTAATAGCCAAGGAATCAATCAATAATTCCACTGCCACCTAATAAATAAATGCCGTGTTGAATATGTTGCCTTTCATGAAGCCCGTTTAGTTGAGATGAGCCTGGTCATTCCGTTCTACCCAAGTATCCTTTATCTTGATCCTCCAACGCCTTCCGTCTAATCCCTCGCTCTTGATTATCCTACCCAATGCCATCTTGTCATGTCGTGATGATGGCTTCCTCGATAGCACTCCCAATCTCATCCCTCGGAAACCCCGGCCCTCGCATGAGGCACACGGCCCTTAGCGCCAGACTTGACACGAGCTTTCCGGCGCTAAGCCTCACTATAGCCATGTCGGACTTTGACTTGGACCTGGCTTGCTGCTGTTCGGCTGGGAAGGGGAAGCAGTTGACAAAGCTCCAGCTTGCGGGTTGCTCTGCGCCGGGATCCGTGAGGCAGTGGGCGAATGGCGGACTGGTTAGGTTGAGTTCCAGGGTCTCGTGATCGATTACTCTCGCGCCTAGGGCGAGGAGCTGCTTCTCTACGCCGATGATGCTGAAGAATCTGCTCAGGCCGGAAAGTTGTGAACCTGCGGGCTGTGAAGGCCATGGCCAGCCGACGTCTTCTATAGTTTGGGGGTTGAGTTCTGCGCGCGAGTAGACGTGGGGACCGTAGCGGCCGTAGGGGAGGTCGACGACTCGGTACATCTCGGGGCGACCGGGACCGAGGAGCCAGCGGAGCCGCGTTAGCATCTCGTCTCTTGCCTTGCCGCGGAGTGGATTGCTGAAGAGACGAGCTTCGGGGGCTGTGATGGAGCGGATGTGCGGGTCGTTGCTGAGAAAGAGATATGCGATTGTGAGTGAAGCCCTAGCGAGGCGGTACGTGAAGGAATCTTGAGATAGAGGGGATGAGGGAGAGGGGACAAAGTCGATGGTGCGCATCGGTGTTGCTGGTGTATTCCCCATCCACCCGTTGGCAAAGATTTGAGGGGGTATGGATGTGGGCGTAGATGGTGTGAAGGCAAAAGGCTGTGGAGGAGGAGAGGGTTTGAGGAAGGGATGGTCTTGAAGGATGAGGGTTGGTTGTGGTGTTTTGGGGGGAACGGTTAGAGCTGAAGATTGCGATGAATCCGATGTCGTAGTGGTGTCGTCGTTTGAATCAGGAGACGTGCTCAAACATTCCGAAGTCGACCTCGCGGGTTCCTCCTCCCTGTTCCCCTCCACGTCCATCGCGTCATCCTCGTCCTCATCCTCATCACTCTTCTCCCTCGTCGGGAGCGCACTCATCATGACACCCTCACATCCATCATCAGGCCCAACAACCTCATGCGCCAACTTTAAAATCCTAGCCATGGACCTCCTCAAACTCCCCACGAGAACGGGTTGACTCTTTAGCACCGCCTCGGTCTCTAGCACCTCGTCGACAAAAGCCATGAAGATGGAGCTCATCTCCTCAACCACTTCTTCCAAGCGACGTACGCGCTTTGCTTGCGCGGCTTCTGCGGCTTGTCTACGTCTGCGAAAGATGTTTTGAGCTTCTCGGTTACGCTCGCGACGGGCCTGTATGTGTGTAAGTTTGAATATCCACCGGAGGGTTTTTTCGTTGACGGAGGATTTTCACCTTGAGAGTTGCTTCGTCGACATCTTGGGTGTTTGAAGAGGGACGACCCCGCCGCTTGGCGGGAAGTGGTTTATCTGACATTTAGGCGATTGGATATATTTGTCGTTTATGTGATTGAGTGAGTATGTGAGTGTGTTTAGTGTTTTGAAGGTGAGAGATGTTGGCCGGACTTGAACATCCGATATCAAAGGGCGCGTCGTAGACAAGTAACCAATGGCTCTTTCCAAGGTAGGCAGATCAATTACTCAGCAATCGAATGTATAGAAAAAAATGGACGTGCGCTCTGAAGTAGTCGTATTGTTGAGCAGCCTGGAATGAATGTTTGTTGCTTTGGTGTCACTGTTAGTATGTGAGAGGGACTTGGGAGAAGATCACTAATCCGGGAAGTGGGTTTCCCCGCGGTTATCGGGGGCTTGGACTCTACTTAAGTGGTTTCGGACGAGTTACATCAGCATCCCGACCCCGAAATCCCGTGACTGGGGAATACATTAGGAAAACGGTCTCTCCCTTTGCCCGTGAGTCCGCGCGAACCAACGAGACAACAACCAACTTAACACATGGTGGCGATTTATAGATGCGCTACGGAGGCGACACCGATTGATGTTGTATTATCAATCAAGGTGGTACAAGATGCAACGACTCGAGACAATCATTGAATGATTGTATTTGATATCCAAGGAAATTCTTCAACACCATTAATATCGACGATATCCGCTATCACGACCCTCAAGATGACGACTTTTCATCGCCGCCTACACCGGAAAATTCTCCGCCACCACCGCTAGTCCTCGACGACTCATCTCCCGTCCAAGTTCCGCTACCTATCAAATGCGCAAAAGGCCCTCTTGCATGCATCAATCCATGATATGTCCCTTCTTCGACCTTGATTCCGTCTTCAAGCACCACGATCCGGTCTGCAGTCGCCATCATCTCCTTGCTATGCGTCACCACCACGATTGCCATTCCACGACGATCTCGTCTCGACTTGTCGGCTAGTTTTTGCATTGTTTGTCGAATCATCTCGGAGCTTTCTGCGTCGAGGGCGCTGGTGGGTTCATCCAAGACGAGGAGGAGTGGCTTTCTTGCTAGAGCGCGTGCGATACTCAACCGTTGTGCTTGTCCGCCTGAAAGAGCCTGTCCGCCATCGCCGACCCTCGTGTTGTATCCTTCCGGCAGGGATACGATGAATTCGTGAAGACCAGCTGCTTGCGCTGCAGACCTGAGGTTGTGGATCCTTCGTAATGGGGAGAGCTCACCAAGACCATAGGCAATGTTCTCGGCGATGGTGGCTGGAAAGAGGAATGGTGTTTGTGGCACGTATCCCATCATCGACCGGAGATGCTCGATATCGACGTCTGCATATGAGATACCAGCAAAAGTGAGCGGTGATGCCCCCGTAAGGACCATAGGCTGCGACGGCTCATAGAGGCCCAACAACATCGAAATGACGGTCGACTTTCCGCACCCAGATCGACCCACGATGGCCAGACAATCTCCAGCATGCACATCAAACGACAGCCCCCGAAGAACTGGTCGCTCTGAGCCAGGCTTGTACGAGAACCCGAGCTGGTTGAACTGCACTGGCAATGGTGTACTTGGCTTCCGCATCGCCTGTGTCTGTGCCGACGGTGGCACACGCATGTTGGCATAACCCAGCATCTGGGCTGCCGTTGCTTGAGCCATTGTCACCTGCGGGATCGTGCTGAGGATGCTCGTCGACGTGCCTATACTGAACAAGAGGAGGTTCACCACCTGCACCACGGCCGTTGCTGTGATCTGCTGCTTAGACGCCAGCAGCACCGTTCCGTAGTAAAAGACGAGCGCGGTGAGGGGATAGTTGAGCGACTGGTACAGTCCAAATAAAGGACTTGTGTATCCCGCCCTCTTCTTCCCGAGACTGAGAGTGTGAGCAATAGTCTTGAGATACTTGTTACTCATGTACTTTTCCAACGTAAGCGCCCTCACGACTCGAATGTTGAGAAAGATCTCTGTCAACGTCGCACTCGAATCTTCAGCCCCCTTGTTGCAGTTCGCCTCCCACTTTCCGCTCACAATCGTATATCCCTTGACGGAGCCCATAACAACCGGCAAAGGAGCGAGAGCAACGAGGGTGAGCTTCCATGAGACAACCATTGCCCAGATGACGGCCACCGAGATCATGACAGCCACGACGATGACGATGGGCACGAATCGGCCAACAATATTGCGCATCTCCTCGGCGTTCCTATCCAGACACTCGTTGATGCGACCGGGAGAGTTGCGCGATCTGTCGAACCATGGTCTGGGCTGTCGGAGGATTCTTTTGAGTGCCTCGACGCGGATGGTGTTGACCCAGGCTTGGCCGACAACTTCGAGGAGATAACGACCACCGCCAGTGCATAATCCGTCGGCTATGGCGTTGATGATGAGATAGATGGCCCATTTTCGCCCTTCAGCCAACTTGTTTCCTGGCGACCACATGACTCCCAGGAGTTGTGCGAAGCAATATGCAAACGTGGGAATGGCACCAGCTCCAACAAAGCACGTCAAGACTCCAAGGATGAGAATAATTCGATGTCGAGATCCGAGCGCGGGCCAAACTGTCTTCAGGATGGCCACCAGAGACATGGGCGGAGGGAGGTTCTTAGATTCGCTGCCGATGCTGTCTGCAGTAGTCTTTTCGTCGAGCCTGGCCAATCTGAGTTTTGACCTGTTCCTCCGACGATCGGCTCCTCCAAACACGTATCGTGGTTCATCAACTGCCGAATCTGCTGTTTCTAAATCGTCGGTGACGTCCATACTGCTATGACTCCTGAGCGCTATGTCGTGCTTCTCAAATATCGCCGTTGGTGAGCTGATGGCTACCGACTTTGGCCGCTCAAGTTGCAAGGGGGTCTCGGATTCCCAGATCTGAGCTGTCTTGAGGCGAAGGGCTGCTGCTGTGCTTGCTCCAAGAGAAACACGTCGCGATAGACCTGTTGGGCCCGGACTGAGGGACCGTCTCTCTAATTCTCCGACAAGCAACTGAGAGAGCCTTGATGCCTTTGTTGGTAGAGGGAATACCGGCGAGATTGGTGTTTCAGGAGATGTAATGGTGATTTCTATTGGCGTCTCTGGTTCGCCTGGCATGATTGATACAAGCGTGGCAAATACGCCATCGACTTGCCGCTCCAAGTCTCGCCTGAAGCCCTCTTGGACAAGAGACGCATTATCCATCACGTAGACAAAGTCATCAGGCTCGATCTGGGACACATCGTGTGTAATGATAATTGTCGTCTTGCCGCGTCGCCAGTCTCGAATAGCGTCCATGATGAGAGCTCTGCTCACCTGGTCTAAACCACTCGTGATTTCATCAAGGATGAGCACAGGAGGATCTCGGAGTCGAGCTCTGGCGAGCGCTAGCCTCTGCTTCTGTCCGCCACTCAAGTTATAGCTATCAGCGCCGACATATGTATCAACTCCTTCAGGAAGGGTTGCGAGTGTAGATTGAAGCAGTGCGGCGTCGCAGGCACTAATCACCTCGGATCGCGTCGCTTCATCGGGGTTACGATGGCCGAATGCCACGTTCTTGAAGAAGGTTTCGTTGAAAAGAATGCTGGATTGCTGGATTAAGGTGATGTTCTCTCGTAGCCATTGTCGATCGAGAACTCGAAGGGGGTGGTTGTCCACCTGAACTTGGCCAGTTGCGGGTTTGTAGAGGCCGACTATGAGGTTACCGAGTGTACTCTTCCCTGAGCCACTCCGCCCGACGATATAAGTCAGTTCCCCGGCGGGAAAGAAGAAGTCGGACTGGTTCAACACTTTTTGGTTTGGGTTTGAAGGGTATGCGAAGCTCACCTAGGTTTGATTAGTACTCATCAGTTGGGGCCTAAGGGGAATGCATCTCACGTTGTTGAGCTCAATATCACCGATGCAACTCTCAGGCTTCAATGAGCCAGTCATGGTCTTGACAGACCGACCGCCTCTCAAATCCAACGTGATGCTCGACAGGAACCCGCCAGCTGACATGCCCTTTGCGATGACCAACCACTGCGGCATCAGAGCTTCGATGCCCTGGAACGATGCAAGAGTGGCGTAAAAGGTTGTCAACACATGGCCTGGAGGAAGACCATCATTGACAAGAAAAACGCCATACCAGAATCCGACGACAAACATTGTTACAACCCAAAAGGCGACGTAGCCCATCTGTATCGCGTTGCACTGTGCTTGAACGAGGTAATGCTTCGCTGCAGCCTTGATGGCAGGATAGTACTGCCACACCTCCTGATCATATCCGTTGAACACCTTGACGAGATCGATCGCCGTGATGGAAGCGACGGCAAACTTTGAAGCAGCTGCAATTTCTCGTTTTTGACCTTGAATCGCGGGTTCGAGTCTCTGTGTAGCGAGCGAGAGGATGATGGCTGAGATTGGGAGCGTGGCCAGGAGTACCAATGTGAGTTTCCAAGAGTAGTAGAGGGCGATTCCGAGGGAGCCTAGGGATGTGATGAGGTCGCAGACGAGAAGACCTAGAACTTGGGAGGTTGCGAGTTGAAGCTCTCGAGTTTGTCTATCGAACATGTTAGCCTGGGATGAGGATAGATGGCAGAGTTCCTCACGTCTGAATCCGAACAAGAAGACTAGAAATCCCCTCCGTTTGCGCATCAAACCAAGCCATGTCCTTTGCCAACAAACTAGCAAACATGTCCCGCCGAACACTGCAAGCCTGCAACTCCCCAAAGACGACCCAGAGGGCAAGGAAAGCGGTACTAGCGATCCAGTTGCCGATTCCAAGACCGAGAAGAACAAGAGACCACATGGAGATGTCGGACAAGGTTTCCGATTTGCTGAGGGAGCCGTTTCCGAAGCCGGCGATGACATCAAAGATCTTGCCGAGGATGATGGCTAGGACGGTCTTGAAGGCTGCTGTGAAGGCGGCCGCTATTATGGCGGCGATGAGGGCTCCTGTGTGGGATTTTCTGGTGAAGAGGAAGAGTTGCCGCCATGATGATTTGGCGGCCTGTTGAGCTGGAGGATTGGAGTTGGGAGAGTCCATGTTGATAGGAGCTTGAGAATCCATATTAGCCATGTCGATGTCGGGCATCTTCTCATAAGAAACTTGTTGTGACATTCGACATCTGAAGCAATTCAATCTGGATCAAATATGTATATCATGAAGAGCACAAGTTGAAGCGCGATGAAAGACATTTCAGTAGCCGACATGACGACGCAGATTTGTCACCAGTTTGGTAAAGAACAAAGAACAATATCAAGCAATGACATGGGTGTCATGTTGCCAAACTGAGGTTGAAGTTGGCGCACAGACTATAATGAAGATGCGTTAGTATTGTTCTTTGCGTTAGCGAGTTGGAAATATTGTTCAGGCTGCCAACGGTGAATATCACACAC